TTTTCTTCCATTGGGTCGCGGATATCGGCCAGCGGCTCGTAGTTCCGCTCCCCATGCGAAGCCTGCGGCTGCATTTTCATAGCAACACGAGAACTTTTGTAAGTCGCCCCTCCTTGACCTCTCGGTCTGTTATTCAAAACTGGTTTGCCACGACGATCCACTTTCAATGCGTGGTATTTTTGAATAACTCTGTTAGGAGCAAGACGATTACTCGTGTGCGGTTTGCTATCCCGGCTTTCATTTCGACGAGAGCCATATGCCTTGTATTCTTGGTCATATGTTGGTCCCACTTTATATAAATGCGCCCTCAGGCTGGCATAAATGGTCCATTGCTCATCATCTTTATTTAAGAGGCATTTCCTCTTAATATCTGGACGGAGTCCAGTATACAATGCATGCAACTTGGAAAAATCATCAAGTTCGTTTTCACACTTGAGAAACATTTGTTCCAAGAGCTGCATGTATTTGATTGTATCGGGACCCGAGGTCTCTGCCTTTGTAAAGGCTGCTATTTCCGACCGAATTTCGAAGTCGGAACATTTATGATCATAAAGTGTCTCCATGCCATACTTAAACTGTTCCCATGACAGTTGAAAGTCTGGCTGTGAGAGCACTTCTGCATCAATTGTTATCCCCCATATGTGTCCCAACTGGGCTAGTAGGCCGTGTTTCACTGACTCTTCAAGAGTATTCAGTGCTATCCATCCCCATTGTGTCCGGGGTGCCATAGTGGTTTTGAAATACATGATGATTTCTTGTAACCACTTGGTTAAGGCCTGTTTATCTTCATTCCATTTTGGGGGTTTCATGCCCTGACTGTTCATCTTAGGCATGTTCATGCTCACCTGAGCTTCCCTTCCGGGTTCGTAATAAACTGGCGCATATGGAATCTCCTGCGCCGCTGCCAAATAGGCTTGACCGGTATAACCCGGCCCTTGGGGATTGTACCCCTCCGGAGGCGGTGGAGGCCCCATTTCTGCCCGATGTGGCTCAACAGCCTGATCAACCTCCAGCCCAAACAGAAATTCCTCATGTGGAGGTTCCTGGGTCTGGAAATGACTGGGCGGGTACTCGTACACCCTCTCGTAACCTCCCGATCCGGATGGATGGGATGATCCACCGTAAGCGGGTGTTGAGTATTCCTCTTGTCTTGGGGCGATCTCCGCCTGCGGTACCCTTCCGGGTTGGTATGCCCTCCCGGGCTGTGTCGCCATCCCTGGCTGATAATACCGAACTGGCGGATACACAGCTGACTCCGGCGCAAATGGAGACATCTCCCGCAGCCTTTGAATCTTTTGCTGCGTCGTTTGCACAGGAGGCTGTGATGTCCGCTGTCCAGCCTGCCCCATTGTATAAGGCCGCACCGGCTGTCTTGGCGCCATTTCTGGCTGAGCCACCGGACGAGCCGGTGTGGAGGGACCTGCCTGCATCGATGGTCCCGGGGGCATTTGCACCGATCCCTCTTCAGGGACTTTTCGGCCAGTTCTCTGGATGGCCTGCCATTCCATGGCTGCTTCCTGACCCTCTGGCACATATATCCCCAGTGCCGTCTGCTGCGCATCAAAGAGGCCACGCAGCTTCCCGGGTATACGTTGGAGGGCGTCCCTTGGGACTTGGGCCCTGTACGGGGCATGGCCTCCACGGGGATGATAATACCCCTTAAAGTATACCCCTCCATGAGGGTCATGAAAGGCACCCAACATATCCCAAAAGCCCCTCGTGTCCTGTATGACAGGGACACGCATCACAGGGGTGGGCTTTGCAGCCTCGTGCGGCACCTTGGCACGTCCACTTTGATCAGCCGCCATTTGCTGGGCGCGGCGTTCCTGGTATCCAGGCCCCGGTTTCGCCGGTTTGTAGGCAATTTCCTGCCATCCATGAGAAATCTGCTTTGCTTCTTGAAGCTGCAGAAATGCTGCATAATCCTCATCTCCCATGATGGAGCGTAGCTGTGCAGCTTTTTCTGCATCCGCTTTCGCTTTCTGCAAAGCAGCTTCCTGTCTCTGCAGGATCTCATAGGTCTCCCGTCTTTCCCGGGGAATTGGACTGGCAGGTTCACCTGCTGAACCGAGATACACAATCTCATCGTTACCAGCAGAATCACCCACTTCTGTATGGTTACGCATCTATGTATTCTTCACAATAGGTCGCAGCAAAGACAGTTCAACAGGATGATTACCTGAAACTGGCCTTTGCGGGCCTTTGGATTCCTCCTTTGCCTTTCTAGGCTGTACTCTCGCCTCTGCAGGTGGGTCTTTTGCCTTATCAGGCTGTTCTTTCGCCTTTGCTTCTCCAAGCGGGGTCTCCCTCTCCGGCATCCTTTGCACCTTAGGACTGCTGGTTACCACAACCGATGGCGATGCCGGCTCCGGTTGGATAGGGACAAAGCGGGCAAGGTGGTTTACACCACTGTCACTGCCGCTACTGTCCTGCTGGTCTGCCCAGCGGGTGGAGGTCCCCTCCTTGGCAATACGGGCAAAGGCCTTAGCCTGCTCGGCCGGGTCCAGCTCATCGACCTTGGGCTGTACCTCCAGGCGCTGCGCCTTTTGGCTGCCTCCTGCGGAGAAAAACCGCTTGATCTCAGCCTTGCGCTGGCGTTTGTGAGCTCGCTTACGCTCATACTTTTCAGGATTCAATTGACGATCCCGCTCACGTCGCAGCGCTTTCAACTCTCTCCGCTGTTTGGCCTTTCTGGCCTTTTGCTCGTCTAACTTCTTTGCACGAGCAAAACGATCTCGGTTACGAATCCGTCGTCTCTCCTTCTCCATTCTATGCACTTGTGCACGGGTTGACATATCACCCGGCAAAGGAGAAGCACATGATGAGAACGACAATTCCGAGATCTCCTCCCACCGCTCGTGGGGATCATTAGGGTCTGGTCTCTCTGGACTCCCCTCGCTCAAGTCCCATGGTTCCGGGATATGCCTGAGCGCAAAGGCCATCTTTTCTGGCCAATTTGGGTCCTCTTTGGCAATTTGATCTGCCATTCCAGGACCATACCACCTTTGTATTCTAACCAGTCTGGCGGTGGTTAACCTTTCCCCAAACTGGTCGGCGGCCATCCGCCATCCCTCGTCAAGCTCATCGACGAGATCACTGTGGAACTTTGTCCACATTGCATGGCACGGTGGTTGCCGGCTATATGGATCTCGAGTGTCTGGAACGAACTCCAGCACCCTTGAGCTTTCACCAGGCCCCCATTCTGGTAATGCAGGCCTCCGAGGGCTCCAATTATGGCCTCCCGGCCTTGGCGGACTTTTTCCGCAAACAGCTTGAGCGCTTTCTGTGAGCGACTCATCTCCAGTCCCGTCCGATCCACTAGGTGTTCTCACATACACCTGGGATTTGAGCCGTAGCTCCGGGATCTTGACCTTCCGGCCTTGCATTCTCTCAACTCGCCCTAAGGCTTTGGCCTCCCGGCCTTGATATGGAGATTTCTCACTTTCCATCGGCCGCTCACCTGGCGATGGACTCTTCCGCTTGGAGCGCTGCTTGCCAGCAACCTTCCAGTCTTCCTCTGGGATGGTTGGCATGGGCAGCTCCGACGGACTGGGGGCCCTCACAGCTGGCACCACTTGTTGGGCGCTTCTCTCTTCTGCCTCCTGGGCTCGCTGCTTTTGCTTCAGGAGGCGGTCACTCAACGCCTTGACTTGGTCTTCGGCGGAGGTTTTGGCTTCTTGGGCCTCGCGGCTCTGCTGCTTCGCCTTCTTCATGGCCAGCTCTTTCTCTCGAGCTTCTTTCTTGGCCTTGTTGGCGGCGATCTCCAGCGAGGCGATCCTCTCGGCGGTCTCTTCATCCCGCTTCGCTCTCGCCTTCTCGGCCGCGGTATCCGCCATCTTCTGCAGGAGCTCTTTGATGCCAGGGATCTTCAGCAACGTCGCCGCCGCCTCAGCGTCCTGGTCTTGCTCCTGTGTCTTCTCCGCCGCCGGCGGGGTATCCACTTCTTCCATCGGCTCATCTTCTGCTGCGGGTGCCGATGTGGCTGTGGAGGGTCCAGCCATGTCCTCCCGGACTGTTACGCCTCCTGGCCCATCCCGGGCTTGTTCAGTTCCTTGCCCATCCCGGGCTGTTTCGATCGCCTGCCCATCCCGGGCTTGTCCTTCCCCCTGCCCATCCCGGGCTTGTCCTTCCCCCTGCCCATCCCGGGCTTGTTCCTCCGATTCCTCAGCCTCCATGGAGGAGGCCGGGGAAGGGCTCCGGCGTCTTGTACTCTCGCGCGCTCCCAGGTGGAAACGTGGTCGCCACCCTCAGGCGGCTCCGAAACCAAATGTTACGAATAGGATGTGGGTGTGGGGTTCCTGCCCTCTTTGAGCCGCGGACCCGCCTCGCCGGGCACCTAGGTCCTTACAGGGCACCTAGGCGGGACCACCCCTCCTACTCCCGTATCCTAATATGGATAAAGATTACAGTGGGTGAGGAATAGTACGTGCCTTGGGCAGGGCGTCCCCCACACCAAGGGCCATTAGTAGGACGTCTCCCACATCAGGCTGGTGCGCGTAACAGTCGAGACCCATGTCAGGTCTTGTTCTTTGCATTGCAGAGGCAAATGCGCCTGGAGCATTCCAGCGAACCCCTGACGGCCCCAATCGCCAGTCGCCACCAACTGGTGCAACCCCAAGTCAAGGCCGCCAGTTCCTGTGAAGAGCCTGATAACATTCCACACTAGCATCGCCATTTTTGTCCATTTTGGGGTATTTCACAGCCTATTTGTCAAAAATTTTCTTTGTCTACTCTTTGGAATCAGGGGTCCAAACCGCGTTAGTATACATGACCCGCTATTAGTATCCACAGCTCTTTTTGGGGGTCCAATACATGCCTACTAATACCGGGTAAATACGGTAGGTTTCATTCAATGGGTAGCCTTCGTTCAAAGTACTAGAGTGTGGTTTCCCGCGGTTTTGCTCGGCGCCACAAAAGCGGTCCTGGCCCTATTCGCCGCCCACCACCCCCCGCGCGTCCAGCGACCGACCAGCCTCCAGCGCGGCAGCCCGCGGGAGCCGATGGCGTCAGCCAGCGACGAGGCAAGCCGCCAATCCCAAAATTCGAATCCAATGCCCCACGGCCTGCACAGACGGGGGCAGGCCGCGATCGCGCCCTCCGCCGGCGCGCTTCCCTCGCTGGGGGCTGCCAGGCCATGTGTAAAGATGCCGGCTGGCAATATCTCTCCTTTCTTTCTTCCATGCCCGTTTTCAATGCCTCCTTTGCCGTGCACCCCCCTACGGTCCCTCTCGGGCCGTTGTCTTGATTTTTCTGGTTTTAGGGGGGAGCGGCGTCCGCGTGGACTCATTGCGGCCGTGGCTTGCGCAGGGCGCGGCCCTCGTTGGTCGGGTGGCCTCCGGCGCGCGAGAGCCGCGCGGGCAGGTCATTCTGGCGGGTGAGGGCGGCGCGAGCGACGAGGACAACGGGATGGTGCCCGGGAGTCGCTGGGGAGACGTGAGTATGGATCGAGGCGCCTAGCGCGCAGTCACCGGCGCGGGGCCCGCGCGGTTCAGTTTTCGTCAATTTTTGTCAGCTGTCGATTCAATGTAGACAGCGCGGCGAGGGATCCCGTTCGTCGCGCAGAGTGCCACGGGGGCGCGATTTTCGAACGGATTGGCGCGCGTGCAGAGCATGGACAATTCTCGGGTGAACCTGGGAACGGTGAATGAATGAAAATCCTTACAGGCAACGTGAAAAACTCGACACGCTGGTCATGTCACGTGTCTCTGCTGAACTCAGGTAGTCAAACAGCGGCCCCCTGCTATCCGTCTACAATATAGCTGGCAGCCCCGGGAACGGTGAACTTGTTGTGGTGGGGCCGTCGGTGTCTGTTGTGAACGCGGGGTGGTGTGTTCGCCAGTCCGGGCACCCGCGGACGCCTGTGGGGAATTTGTTTGCTTCGTGGCCTGAAATTGGCGCGGCGGAGTGTGAATGCCGGGGATTGGATTGTTGGCATCTGACGGGTCTTGTTGGGGACTGGTGCCTGAATTGGGTGCGGCAGAGTGTCAATGCCCGGGATCGGTTTGCTTTGGATTGGGTTGGTGGCACCTGACGGCAGTCTTGTTCTGGGCTGGTGTGCCAAACAGGAGGAGGAAGAGGTGGAGCCTGCTGGCGATGACAGCGAGGAGGAGGCCACGCCCGCTGAGGAGAAAGAACAGGTGCAGGTGATGATGAAGAATATTTCCTATATGTAGGTTGTGACAAAGATATGCATGTCACCATCTGTGCTATACCCACAACACATGACCCAGCAGAATGTATCATGGCCACATCCAGTGTCACCCAGGTGCATGTGAGAACTGCCCTGCTCGAGTTCTTTCCTTGAATGAATGAGCGAATGTGTCCATTGAAGCAGCGTCAATCGACATACTGGTCGTGGCACATGTCTCTGGCAAGCAGTGAACAATCAGACTGGATAGGTTTCGCGAGCGGTGTGCAAGGGCCTCACAATGTTTGGCACAAAGAACACCCAGAATCCATGCCTGCCTGCTTTAGTTACCCAACCTCGGCAGCCAGTCCCATGCATAGGACGAAATGAAACAACAGCTGCCCCAGGATAGGGACAATGAGCAAGGTTAGTACCCATGGAAGTGCATTTCCACAGCTGACATGTTTGAAAATGCGCAATTGCCAAGTAAGCAAACAGTATTGACACAAGTTGCCTTCTAATGGTCAAAAGGAACAAGACTGTTGCTACTTCCTTGAGTGGTGGCACCTGGAAGCTGGTGTTCAGATTTTGCTGGTTTTTCCTGTGCGATGATGCAAGCAGTGCATTTTCATGGTACATTAACACCATGTTGGAAATCTGTCAGAGTGTTCTGGAGTCTTGGGTGAAACTTTTGCCACACACTGAAGCTTCAAGACCCACAGCAAAGCTGGTGAATTCTCCTGCACACTTAATGTTGAGGTTCATCAACTGCCCACCACATTTAATGTGGGCTTGTTCAGCAGGAAGAGTACTTTCTGGCATGAACATGCCACCTGCAGGGCAGTTTTGTACTTCCAGTATCACTGCCAACGAAGCCTTTTACTTTTTCATTGTTAAAGAAAACTGGGTGCTCAAAACATGTGCAGACATTCTGGTGGCAATGTGGTCCCACTTGTTCAAATGTGGGGTGATTTTATATACAGGAGCAACGTGGTTCTCCCACAAATGGAAGCATTCCAAGAGCAAGGCTCACAGAGCAGCTGGATAGCCTGCTCAATCGCGCTGGGCTGTACTCACAATTCTTGTTCGACCAAATCGAGCAACTGGAGGACGCAGTGCAGCGTACAACACTGTCATCGCAGGGTGCAGATGACGATCAGGATGAGACAGGGGGCACAGGAGACGCCCCATCGAGCTCGCAGAAGGGGAAGAGGAAGAGGAGTGGAAGCCAGAAAGGAGGCAAGGAGACAAAGAAAGCCAAAACTTCTGGGTCTTCCAAGCGTGTGAGTTGGGTTGAATGCTTGCCATATAAGATATTTTGGTTGGTGTCCAAGTTTTTGATCGTGGGGTTGCACTGCAGCACCAACAAGGCTACTGAATTTTTAACTTCTTTAATTGTTTTCTTTGTCCAAGAGCCTGTGGCTGTTCTTTGTTTCTCTGAGTGCCACTCAACCATTCTCGTCCCTTGACGCCTGTCTCTGTTTTCTTAGTGGCGGTTTTTTTCTACCGAGCACAGCAGCCGTTGTTGGCCAACCGCAGCAGATGGAAATTTTTTAACTGCAAAGGCCTGAACTGTGGAATATACACTGACCAACACGCCTGTACAGGGGTGATGATCGGCTTGTTGATCGATTGCAACTACATTATGGCATAAGAGTGAAGAAAAATCATCCAGAAACCACCAAATGTGAAACAGGCACATGGTGGGCACCAGTGATATAAGCCCCGTCATTTAACAGAAATCGATTCACGATATCTTCTCCGAAACCGAAAGAGCATGACTGTGGAAGTATGTCTACCAGGATGCAGAAGGAATATGGGAGTTGAGTAGTTCATCCTATGTTCATCAAGTCATGCGGCATGTACTGATCAGCGCAGCCATGGCCCTGGCTTCAATATTCACCCTGCCTCCCTCCAGACACAGAAAATCGTCAGTATCCACCAAGCACATTCAAGGTCATCTTCTCAACCCCCAATATTTCCTTGCCTTTTGAGTAACTCATGAGAGTAGCTCCTGAGAGTACAGTTAACATCTTTGTCCCAAGACAGCAGGAGTGACTTATTCCAACCAGCTGGATGTCACTTTGCAGTTGCCACTGATAAGCTCAAAACGTGGGGAAGAAACCTGCGCTCCATGTCATTGTTGGTTGCATCATAACAGGAACCGTGGAGATTTTCCTGAGGTAGAATTGATGTGAATAGCTCATGTGTGGAGAGTGGCCAGTTAACATTTGAGCTGCCACTGTCAAGCCTGATGGTGTGCCTATTGCAGACAGCATTTTCCCAGAATGCCCATGAGTGCCTCAAGGAGCCTGTGCACATCAAGGGGCTAATTATTATTCACAATTGCAGGTGTTGTTGCCACTTTTTGAGGGCAAACTGAGGGAGTACCAGCTCAAGGGGGTCATGTGGCTCATTTCATTGTACCAAAATGGTGTCAATGGGGTGTTGGCTGACGAGATGGGCCTGGGCAAGACGGTACGCCCACCATGTCCTTATTGTATGGTGATGGATTGATGTCTGCAGCACATCTGTACTTCAGCTGACTGTTGATAGTACAAACTGGCTGTTGTGATGCATATGCATTGTTTTGTGTTCAACTCTATGCAGCAATATGCCTCTGTCCCATTGTTGAAAATCTCACATCTACCTTCACATCCAGAATTCTTTCTTCAAATGGAGCCAACATTTTCTCCTCAAACTAAAGGGAAATTGGAAATGATCTCTGGTTGTAAGTATTGCGCCCTCTCCTCAACGATGGATGTCAGATTCTTCCAGCATCCCAATAAAGTGCTTGGAGATGGGTCTTGGTGTCCACATGTCAGTTGAAGCCTGTTCGTTGCTTGCACATGTGCAACAGTGGTTTTGATGGAGAGTTTTTGTCCAAACTGTAGTTTCAGCGCACGATCCATTTCGCATTGAATACCAGCACAAGGCACACCAAGCCTCAGTTGATGGCACCACAGTCCCATGGGTTGGACTTAGATGACCATTACACGATCCCTGAACACGGCAAGCTGATGAAATACCAAAAGCTCGGGCCATGGAGACCGTGTATGCTGCTGTCATCTAGTTGAGAATGCCACCTCTGTGCCTTGATCATTTTGATTTTTGCAGACGTCCGTGCTGATGAGTTTGGCTGTAGGCCATCACACCATTTTGCCTGGCACCTAACCCTTAATATTGGGTCCTTGGTTTGTTTTGAACGCCATTGCAAGATACAGCTCCCTCACAGATGCCAACTTCAGCCACAGTCATTCTATGTTGTGGGGCCACATTGGCCCACACTGGCTGGCAAGGAGATAGCTTGTTCATGTGTTATTCGCATCTCCCTTGATGTAACCATGCAACAAAGTACAGCCTCCTTTGGGGCCACGTTTACTCACAGATGACCGCCTGTCCTGCTGCCCACAGATCCAAACGATAGCTTTCCTCTCCCATTTGCGCTCCAATGGAGTGATGGGGCCCTTTTTGATCGTTGCCCCGCTCTCCACTCTTGCCAACTGGGTTTCTGAGTTCGAGCGCTTCACCCCATCCATCCCAGTCATCCTGTACCATGGATCCAAGCAAGAGCGGGAGAGGCTGCGGAAGCTGAAGATCCCAGCAGGTGTGCTGATTGGCCGATTGAGAACAAAAGGAAGCTGGCAAGCAGCTGCAACACACAGCTGTGGTGAGCACATGTGCATGTCCACAGCACCTGACATCGGTCAGGGGATACCAGGGTTGTGCTTTGTTGGGACTGGGGACTGGCATTCATTGAGGTGCTGTGCACCCAGCCCGCGTGCGGTTGGTGACAACAAGCCGACTCCCAGGCACAACATATTTGTAACAAGCATCAGCAAAGGACCCCTGGACTGTATTTTGTTAGTTTCTCTCTTTGCAGCCTTTGAGGGCGATTTCACTATGGTGCCACCAGCAGTTTTGCTGCCTTGCAATTTGGAACAGGGAAAGGACAATCGAGGAAACCATGCCCAGAGCAGCTGCTTTGTTGGAATGTGCATGGTTCTTTCAACCATCCAAACTAGGATCATTCAAGATTTCTTGTTTCACGGTACAGCAGCCGCTCAAAGAGCATTGCCCACATGGTACCCTTGCTGGGCTGGTGTTCTGTAGTCAAATAATTGTTTCCAGAAATGTTCTGGGCTTATGGAGATGAATCGACATCACGATAGAGAACATATGAAAATTGGCAACCAATACTGTGCAGGTACAAGGCAAGTGCTATGTCATCCTTTTCATTGACAGAACATTGACTCAATGGGATGGGGAAATGAACGTTCTTGTTTTCACATGTTACAAAATGTGGTGATTGTGCTCAAGCTGTGTAGCATGCAATCTTTTTCTGTGTCTTTTGGTGGACCACAAGTCGCAAATTTGCACTGAATTGTGTACCCTACAAGGGTTGAGCATCGTTGTTGTGGGCACCAGGGGTACAAGCGTCGTCGGAATTTCCTGTGATTGTCACTTCCTATGAGATAGTTATCCGGGATGCCCCCCACTTCCATCACCACAGGTAATCGCATTCACGAATCCTTCAACTTTCCTCCACCCCTTTGCTTGTGCTTTGTACTAGCATGGAGTCCGTTATTGCGGGCATTGATACATGTCTTGGGACATATAGCTCTTGAGTTGATGGAGGTGATGTGGCTTTAATGTCACTCCTGCACATTTTGCGGATGAGCTAGGAGGGTAGACTTCAACAGTCACTGTTGTCAGTACAACGCACGACATGGCCTTCGTTGTTTTGTGCTTGAATAGAATCCTGTGCAGGCTTCTTGCAGCAGTTGCGTACTACTTCCTACGTCAAAGATTAATTGTCCTCTATGACTTTGGCTCCCTACTTCTCTAAGCTTCATTTTTCAATGAAACTTCCACGAAAGGTGCTCTATGTTTGGGAGTATACGGTCAAAATTGCAAGTCAATCCATTAAGTATTGAGGACTTGGCAGCACTTTGTAGTGGGGTCCTCCTGCCATAAAACCACCCCGTTTTTCAACAAAGTAACCGGAAGAGTCGTTTTTGCAATGACGAGGAGCACAACTTTGCGGCAGCCAAACAAGACCGCCCATGCAAAACTATCCATGCCGTTTGGATAGAAGCTCGGAGGGGTCCTTGCGAAGAAGTGAAGCAGTAGAAAACGCGGCTTGGTGGCTTGATCGTGAAAGTCGCCGTGGCTTTTTGCTGCCCTAGTTTGATATAGATTGGCCGATTTGGGGATGCATGTCTGGTCCAAATTCCTGGGCCGCTACCTTTTAACCTCTATTGCTGCTGTGAGGGATATTGCAAAAGGCCTCCCAAGCCCCTCAAAGAGGTGCGAAGGAATGCAATGGCCATCAACCTTATCAATGGCAGACGTTTAAGGGAATGGCTTTCAAGGCGGGTTGGCAAAGTCGACCTTTGCCTCAACAATTGAAGGTGGAATGCGAAGCAAACGGTTAGATAGATCATTTCATGTCTCTCTCACAAGCAGAGACAATGTTGATTGGGAAGGATTATGGACCGCACATACAAAGTTGGCCGCTGGTGTCATTTTTTGGAGTGTGGGCCCAGCCACAAACGAAAGCCTTGATTCAAGGATCAATCGAGGTGCAATGTCAGAGGAAATAGCATAGCCTTATATTGATAGCACGCACAGATCCCAAGCTTGAGTGTCTTTGCGTTTGCCTTTTCCACTTGTGGCAAGTCCTCGCTTCGGAGATCAGGGAGGGCGGCGATTTCTGCCATCGTCAACGCCATGACAACAAACCTATTCGATGGAGATCCAAACACGGTTGAATGTGTTTGGCAAGCGCCATACACATGAGGGACACTGCCCTTCGCCACGACGGCACGCCTGGGGCGGGAGCGACCCTGAACCGCGCAGATCTCCAACGGGTGCCGAATCAGAATGCACAATGTTCAGCCAAATCTTAGGCAATGTCAAGGGGGCATCAGAGGGACGAGTAGTTTTTCACAGAAATTGGTAGTCAAGGGTTTTGGGAGCCAATCTTTTCGATTCTGACCTTTATTGGCACTTCTGAAACCCTTAAGATAAGTAAATTTATCTTTCAAATAGAGGACAGTTAGTCCTGGACGGAGGAAGTACTAATTATGGTTGGCTTGAATGTTTGGAAAGGTGTGAACCGTTGCAATATACCAAAGGATGACAACCAACTGCTATGTCAATCGGGAAGCTACCTCCTATCCACCAGGGCAGGCTGACCGTCATGCTGATTGCGTATGTCAAAACCAGTGATTCCATGTCTTTGTATTCGTATATTTGTATTCATGTATTTGTGATGAAAGGATCACAGTACTACACCCCTCAGTCCACGGCACTAGGTAAACACCATGGGAGATTGACTTGCAGATGTTGGTCTTGTGCTCGTGTCTTATTGGATGCATTGGTGCCTAGTGTCTTTTGAGTGGAGCGTGGGTTGTTGCATTGCGCCCCCAGGTTCAAGTATGTCGTGGTTGATGAGGGTCACCGGCTGAAGAACTTCAATTGCCTGCTGGTGCGGCAGCTGAAGATGGTTAACACAGACAGCCGGCTTCTGCTCACAGGTGGAGATTGCCCCCTTTCCATAACATGCACATACAGAACGTGCCATACGATGGGCACTCAGACATCCAATCAGTCCAGTACTTTTGCCAAATCTTTTGCCTTTTCTGTAGCTTGCATACTTGGCCAACCAACAGTTGAACCAAAACAAACAAACAAGACCAAAACAAACAATTAAGAAATGGGACTTTTGATGAGGAGAATGCAGTGCTGATATGTTGTTGAGCACGTCTCTCTGAAGCCAGAAGTATTGTGAAGGTTTGACGTGCCATAGAAGACACTGCAAGTCTCTGGGCGTAACCAGGAATGGTGCTCTGCACAATCAAGGGCAGTGACTAAAAATGCTGATGGCAGCCTTGTGGAGGGCTGCCAGTAGAGACATCAACAACGAGGGTCATCAGGTGTTTGTGTGTGTTGGAATGCCTGTCATCGCTTGCAAGGTGAAGACATACAGTATGCAAGTAATCAAGGCATGTAACAGTGTTGCATACACACCAGCTTCTGGGGCGGAACTTGCTTTTATTGGTGCACTACAGTTGCACCTGCAAGGCAATGCCATGCACTTTCCACCTCTCCAAGTGCTCCCACAGTGTTCATGATTCCCACATTTGGCAGGGCAGCACTAAGTGGGCTTCACCACAAAAGAGGGCAGAATACAGAACTCTCAGCACCCACTTTGCTACTTGGAACTGTTGATTGATGGAAAGCTCGTTCTGGCACCTTTGTGATGCTTGACAATTTGCAACGCATGGGATTTGTATGTGCTGCGATGACATGACTACTGCATAGTCTGACACGAGCCCATGCATACAAAACTGCTTGTGCGCGTGTTCGTTTCCTACCGCCCCTCCTCATCGATTGACAATGGGGGTTACCGCATTCCATGATGTTGTACCTGGTCTATGGGTTTCCTGCAGGGACAATGGTCAGGTTGCTTTTCAGCTAACGTTGAGCCCAACATAGCCTTCATTGTTATTGAGCCAGGCTGTACTCAGTGCATGATTGTTGTGTCTTGAACCACATATGCAAGCAGAGTACTAATGGCTTCTATTGTGTTGAAGATAACACCATAAGAGTGTGGTTCTTCACATGCTACGGCCTGATATTTGAGGCCATGCAGATGCCCAGCTTGCTCCAAAGGCAGCTTTAGGATCCTTATCAATTCATTGCTGGTTATGTTGCTGTTTTGCAGGAACTCCGCTGCAGAACAACTTGTCCGAGCTGTGGAGCCTGTTGAATTTCCTCATGCCAGAGATGTTCCCTGATCTGGACACCTTCAAAAACTTATTCGATTTTCAGAATGTGGGCCAGAAAGACGGCTGCGAGGTGAGGATGGCACTGTTGCCTTGTTGTCAGGATGCAAGCTTGTTCCATGTTTACTGCCACCTTTCTCAGTTGGCTGAATTTGGCAAATCTGTACGGCACATCCTGAATGGAATATAGTATGAGGGACATGGGCGACCAATTGATTTGCATGAATTGTACTGAGCGAATGCATTCTTGGATTGCATTGTTGTGTGGCTCTGACTTGGAAGTGACTGGCTTCATTGAATGCACACAAACTATGGCAATATGAAGACAAACGCCGTTCATACATGCACCATGGCCTTCAACTATGAAGTGCCAAACACAATTCAAAATGCGAGAAATTGGCAAATTGCCAATTCAATGCTACAATGCACAATGCCATTGTCAGGGCTGGCACACAACTTCGTTGCTCCAGAGCACCAACTGCACTGAAGTACATGGCTTGTGCCAACTCGATGCAGGCCATTGTTGAGGCTGAGAAGGAAGAAAGTATTGTGAGCAAGCTGCATAGCATCCTGATGCCCTTTCTGCTGCGGCGAATGAAGTCAGACGTGGAGCTTGCACTGCCGCAGAAGACAGAGATACTGCTGTATGCCCACATGACGAGTTACCAGAAGGACCTCAACAAGCGGCTTCTGGATGACTCGATGAGCCTCCAGGTGGGCACAGTGCCATAATATTCTGAAGTGCTTACTCGGGAAATCAACAGTCCAGGTTTTGATATTCTAAGTCATATTATGTACTTCTAGTATTACCTTTATTGCTTCTTGGCCAAAAGATGTAAGGCGACCAGATGGTGCGGAAGTTGGGTATAGGGTTCCAACAACTGTACCATCTGCCCTCAGCACATTAGTGTCAGGACTATGTGGATGCCCAGATCGGTTGTGGATGAAGGGTGTTTTGTATGTTGCCAAAGTTGTGTTGCCAATGTTGCCAGGTACCCCACAGGCAGTTGCTTAGTTTTGATTGGAAAGAATTGTTAACTAGCACAGCAATTGTTTGACATTTCATATTGCTGTGTGTCGCCCATGTCCTGATTTTTGTGCTCCAAAAAGGGCCCAAGGCAACATCTTCATGCTGTGCTACAGACACAGCAATATGACAAATTAATGCATTGCACACTTGATGCCTTCACCTGTCAGGCGTTGCTGACCTTTCCCTTGCTCAGCCAGTGAATGAAGCGAGAAACAAAGCAAGCAGCTGAAGGGAGTGTCTGCCGCAGGCCGTGACCAGGAACGGCTCAGAGAAGGAGGTGCACCTCGCGCGCCTGAACAACGTCCTGATGCAGATGCGCAAGGTCTGCAACCACCCAGACCTCATCCTTGGCACGCTCGACGGTTCAATAAAGTTTCCCAGCGCAGACGAGCTGGTTAAGCAGTGTGGCAAGCTGGCACTCATGGATCGAATTCTGAACAAGTTGCACAGCAAGGGCCACAAGGTCCTCATCTTCTCTCAGGTGGGTATGCAACATGGGCAAGACCTGTGCTTTTCTCCGCTGCCTTCTTTCCCTTTGTCATGTATTGGTGCTTTGTTTTTCGGGGCGCAAGAGCTTGACATCTGCTTCTTGATTCCATTGTCCTCAGAGAGTTGCCTTCAGTTTATGTCACATTATTGAGTCAAGGTTGCTGTGTGACTTAACTTGATCGACTCAATGTAAGTCAGTTGGACTATCAATAGTAATATACAAGGGATGCATGGAGTTCATGTGATGAATGGAGTATTGCATATTTAGTAACGTGCGGAATTGGACTTGTTTGCGCTTCGACAGAGCCCGGACTAGATTGAACCTTAATTTGCAACAGGTCGAACATCTGCACAAGTTTGTAAAATGACCAGCGCGGTCGACTGCAGGCACTTTGTTCATTTAAACCGGTGACTCTATCAGGCAGTGCGGCCGGTTGCTGACTGCCGGCGGTGCCTGCCCGCAGATGACGAAGATGCTGGACCTATTGGACAGCTTCTTCGACGAGCGGGGCCACGACGCCCTGCGCATCGACGGCTCCGTGCCCTGGCAGGAGCGCCAGGAGAGGATCAACGCCTTCAACACAGATCCCGAGAAGTGGCTGTTTCTGCTGAGCACGCGGGCGGGCGGCCTGGGGGTGAACTTGACAGCCGCGGACACCGTCATCATCTACGACAGCGACTGGAACCCGCAGCAGGACCTGCAGGTGGGCTAGCGAATGACGTCCGGGGCAAGGCGAGCCAGCCATGCGACCTGCGTGCCGCTCCCGAGCAGGAATCTTGTAAGGCGCTTTTCCATGCGGGCTGACTTGGAAGCGTGGGATGGCGCACGGCAGAAGCGGATAAAAGTGCGTTGCATATGCAGAACAGTTGTGGAATTGAGCGTTGCGAAATGAGTGGGCATTGGGAACAGGTGGCGTGGACGGAGGAATGGACCAGTTCCGCACAGATCCTGACCCGCAACGGGTGGGATCCAGAACTGCAAATGAAATTCGTTGAATCACCCACAGTGTTGACACCACAGTGTGATGGCGTTCCAGCAGCCGCAATGCGTGAGGATTTGCATTGAGCCGCAACGGCTGCATGGTGTCATGACGTCACGAATTGCGAAATTTGGTGCCGCGACGTCGAGATGTTTACCTGCGCTTGTGTTGCATGAACAAATGATGTTTCCAGGCCATGGACCGGTGCCACCGCATTGGGCAATCGAAGCCGGTGCTGGTGCTGCGCCTGGCGACCAGCCATTCGGTGGAGGGGAAGATGCTGAAGCGAGCGGCGGATAAGATGGCGCTGACGCGGCTCATCATCAAGAAGGGCGCTTTCAGGGGAGACAAGGAGGTGAGGAGTGCCGTTCATGAGCGTATAGAGAGTGATATTATGTGTTAGTATGATGCGCAAGAAATGACACTCGTCATGATATGTAAATGCATCGTGCAGTGTGAGTGATCGCGCCTCCCCGATCAACGATGGTCAGGACATGGGGAAGTGCAAATGGTGTGCACAGCTGCGACTTCGACTGTTAGGTTGTGCCTTCTCCTGCACCTGCAGGACGTGCTTGTGTCAGCGCAGCACATGCGGCCTGCGTGCTCTGTTGAAGCATTGCGAGCCGGCAAGTGTTGAATGGCGCAATATGCGTTTCTTTGCATTTCGGCGACAGTGGAAAAATCGATTGTCTTCGTGTTCTCTGCAGAGCAAGAGCGGCTGCTCCTCCCTCGCCACGGACGAGCTCGTGCAGCTGCTCAAGGCAGACATCTCCTTGGACGACGTGCCCCAGAGCGGCGAGGTGTCCGACGGCGTGCTGGAGGAGCTGCTTGACAGGGCGCGGATCGGGGGGCGGCGCCGGGTGCCGGCGACTGGCGTCGGCTACGAGATCGTCCAGGGCCAGGGCTCCACCAACATGCTGTCCATAGGCGCCGTTGACGGGAATGTGCAGCTAGGAACGGCGGAAAAGGGCCCGTAGAGCGTGCAGAATTGTGTGCGTGTACAGCCCATGCTGGCAGTTCCGCAACAATCGCTTTATACGGTCAAGTCGACGCTGTTTTAACCGGAGGACCGCGTTTATGCGCGCGGGCGGGATTCCGACCTTGTGTGCACGTACATAATGTTCACAACACAACTCGCGGCTGCTGGCTTCGTGGGAGCCACATGGCAGCAGCATCGAAGTTGCCGTTCTGGGTGGGCCGGTGATGAGCCGGGGGGTGGTGGGGGGATTGAGCGGTGGGATGCCTTTGGCGGGAAGGGATGCGCCTGGTGGCTGATGGGAGGGGGATTTCGACCAGCGCTGATGGGTGGCAGTGGGGAGCTGCTTGGACCCGTGGCGGCAGGGCAATTGGCATGTTCATCCTTTGTAGATTGTTCTTGGTTCTCCCGGGGCAGGGGGTTTGTTTGAGCAGGAATGACGTACCGTGGATGCACGCGTTGCCTTCACCACCATGCACGCGTGGCTGGGCATGCGATCACCAATGCAGGCGAACGTGTTTGATTACGTGTTGAGAGGAGTCGCATCTTCTGAGCAACGGGCAGACCTTGGCGCATGCATCTAGGATCTCAATTGGAGACTGCGTTGCAGAGCGGTATTGAACCTGAAAACGGAAAAAGGGCGGGGGTGTGGGGGGTGTGGGGGTATATTGATTGTGGGCCGCTTTCTGGAGAGTCTTGCGCAAATGGCGATCCGAAACCTTCAAGGGATTCTGGTGCAGGATAGTACACAACGCTGACTACCCGGATTCAGATCTGGTGTCAGGTTTCCCGCCAGCACTTTGCTTGGCGGGCAGGCAGCCGTTGTGCGATTGCGAATCGTCGCCAACGGGAGGCGCTTGATGCCTGGCGCTGTGTTGTACAGTGATCATTGACCCATGGTGGCATTTGTTTCATTCGCAGCGCCAGATTCTGATGTAAAACTACGGAGGCAGTGGGGAGTGCCATGCTTGCTGGCACGCAACAAGGACTGGGCTCCAGGCAGACGAGGGGCTTTGCAGGTGTGTGAACGATGCAAAAGGGCGCCGATGCCGCCCTTCAGCACATCGTCACCTTCTGGCTCCAGCTCGGCACACGAGAAATGTAAGCAAAGGATCAAGAGGCGGGAGACAGAGGGACACGACGTTTCTTCATGCCGTGCCAAAAGTGTGCCCACAGTCCACAAAGGGGGTACAAATTCACATGTCGCTCCGCGCTGTCCACCACGACTGCGTCTGGATCGTTGAACTTGTCTTGTGCCTTGGGGTTCGACTTGCGCTGACAGCACACAAGTTGGTTGGATGGGGCGCATTGAGCGGCATCAGCAGTCTGGCACGTGCCACGATCAGCCATGCACAACCTGAACGAATAAATTGCTCAGCCAGTGAAACTTGCGATGTGGCTTCACCAACGCAACAAAATTACATGCTGCCAACAAGACTGCCAATAGTTGCGTTCGAAGGCTGTTTCGGTCATGGCCACTTCCCAACGACAAGTCTCAGTTAGCTGCAGCCAGCAAGAGCAGCAGACCTAACAAAACCAAAAGAAGCGCCCTCGGCCAAGAATATTTCTTCGCTTGTGCCCGTCAGCATTCTCTACAATGGAACAACACTTAAATTAGTCTTAAGTTACTGGCACTATCCGCTACCACGGCTTCCACACCCAGGATGGTCGGATTTCCCACCGACAACAGAATCCCAAAGCATCGGCCACCCACCGCCGAACGCACATGCTCCTCTGGCATCTCAAACGAGCAAAATATCCGCGGTGCTTGACAGAGCGAAGTCAACTGCCCAGCAATCAAGCACACCAGTCCAGCCACAACCACGAAACCTCTGATGCACCTCGTTGCCAGTTGCAGGTACTTCACAGTCGGCAGTGGAATGCGATACATTAGAAGATACCGCTTACAGACCCGCCCGCCCCCCCCCCCTTCCGACCCCTGCCCACCCCCGCCCAATCATCCCCCTCCAAAACCAACCCACCCTGAAAAAGATGAAGCAAGGGACTCCTCCACAAAATTTCACTTTCCTGGCTGGATGATCCGGTGGCCCAGATCGTCACATAGCGAAGACGGGTTCATCAACTCGAGGCTGCAGTTGCTAGGCGTCAACTCACAGGAGTTGTGTGGCCCGCATCCGAACCCGTCCGGCATGTCCATCCACTGCGGGGTGAGTTGAGAGGGCTGCACCTCGATGCTGGGCTCGTTGGGGTTCTCGCCCATCTCACGAGCCAGGATGTCTCCCAGGTTCAGGGTGTTGGGCATCATGGGGAAGCACACGCTTATGAGTCGGCCCAGTTGCAATGGCGTCAGGACCTGAATCACAAGGCAGCAAATAAACTTAGGCTGGCCAGTCGAGATCAGCAAAATGCGCGATCAGGCAAACTTGCCAGGGAAGTGATTTTTCAGCAATCGAGGCAAAAGCAAACTTGGGTGGTTGTGCACTGCTGAGGTTGGCTCCCATGCTGGAGAATTTCGTCAGCCCAAAGCCCCATCAATTCATCGCATGGCATGTATGGCAAAACATGAGCCTTCTTAGGCGCTTGATGGAACCTAGATATAAGAACTGCACACCGATGACTCTGCTTGACGTCACCATCCTTATATCATGTCACAACTCAATGGAACAAGTCCATGGGCAACAAGTTCACCTCCCTCACCTCACATATGATGTACTGCATGTACTCCATTTTGGCACCATGGAACTGCTTCAGCAGTTTGCCCATCTTCTCCACGCGGTTATGGTTGCACAGGTACTCTTGTGAGATGGGCCCCGTGCTGGTCTGTGTGGGCAAGCAAGCGGTGAACTGCGCGTTCAGGTCCTTTGTCTCAGCAGCCACACGCCGCTGCTCGGCTTGAAGCCACTTCCACTTGTCCACTATTGCGCGCTTCATCTGGGGGGTCAACTCCAGGGCAGACACCACTTCCTTCATCATCCGAACGGCAGTGTAGCCGGGGGGGCATGCTGCCTCAGCTATCTTCCTAACCTTGGCAAAATTTTCGGGGTTGAGGTGGATCAGGAGGGTCATGCACTTCTTCAGTTCATGCACCAGCTGCACAACCCTGCTTTTGAGGTGGTGCGTCGATGGAGCCAGCAGCTTTATACACTCGGACACCTCCCTGCCATACACCTGAATTGCGCACGCAAAGCAACATCAGGCATCAGCAACATCAGGCATCAGGCAAACAGCGAGCGTCAGGCATCAGGCATCAGGCGAACATCAGGCATCAGGCATCAGCATCAGGCATCAGCCATCAGCAAGCCAAAAGGTGGGTGATGATAGAAAACTACACACAATATGGTGCCAAACATTTCTCTCTCATGATCAATACAAACCACGCTTAGTTCTTGATGCAGCGGATGTTTGTGGAGTTCGCATATTGGGTGCTGCTCTACCAGCCATGGACATTAACCCAGACTGCTGCAAAACTAAATGAAGTCATGCACAGAAGCCCAGCATGCACAGTAAGTAACATCAAGACCTGTGCTCACCATCCAGATAGCGTGCCCAATCTCAGGGGTCATCTGGGAAGCGAACTCCTCTGTCATGCGGACAGGCTGCTCATTCTGCGTGTAGGCGGAGAGGTACAGCGGCTCCTCCTGACACAGCTGCTGCAGGCCCCTGCTGGCAGACGCAGCCTCGCGGTCGCGCCTGTCGGCGTCGGCCTCCTTTCGCTGCACGTCGAGCAGCTGCTCCTCGCGGACCTCAAGGACCTGCGCGCACGGCCATCACGGTTTCACCCTCCAAAAACCTGTGACAAAGCGCTGAGCACCAGCCACCACCACGAGGCTGACGCCGGGCCACGGCGAGGACCCGCGAGGGACGATGGGCCGCAAACCACACTGCCATTTTGGACTCCTTGACAAGACGAGCGCACAAGCATGGGGAATCCAAGGCGGGGCCCGTCCCATATCACGCACCTTGTTGAGCAGGCTGACGCTTGAGCTGAGCTGGGCGTTGCTGGACCTGAGCGCGTTCATCCGCGCGCCCAGCTCAGCTACCTCCGCTTCCAGGTCCGCCATCTTGTGCTTCTGCCTCTGCCGGAACGTCCTCTGCGCCCGCCTGTTCCTCTCCTTGCGCGCCTGCACCCTCCTGCTCGACCCCGCCGCGCCCCCTCCCCCCCCGGGTCCCTCCCCCCCCTCTTCCTCCCCACCGACCCCCCGGAACACGAACGGCGCCCCTGAAATGAACATCTGCGCCGCCGGCTTGAAACTGATGCCCCCAACCTCTCTGCCCTCATCAATCGATTCATTACCCCCGTTGGACCCCCCGGTGGCGCTGTGCGCCTCTACGGGGGAACCGTCCCGAGACGATCCCTCCCCTCCGCCGCTGTTGCTGCTCTGGGGTGCTCCAAATGGCGAAGCCATGGCCATGATCGCCGCTCCAGCCGACGGAAACTGCGCCAGGGGCTCACCGAACGCCTGCGCCGATGCCGACGCGTTCCCAGCCCACGACGACCGCCTGGGCGGGATGGGATGATTCGCGGGGCCGCCGAGCAGCGGCGGGGGGTTGGCGGGGATGATGGGCGCGAGGCCGTGGGCGGCGGCCACGGCGTCTGGGGGCGGGACGGGCGGGGTGGAGTGGGCGAAGGGCGTGGCGCCGGGGCGGGTTGAGGATGGCGCGGGCGCGGAGCTGAAGAGCTTGAGCAGGTCGTCCAGCTCGGAGGGGCAGAAGGGCGGCAGGGTGCTGGAGTCCAGCATGCGGTCCAGCGAATCTCTCGTTTCCAGTTCCATGCCTGCGGAGGGAGCGGGACGCGGCGGGAGGTCAGCGAGGGGGTGGGATTTGTCACTGCATCTCCGAGTTAATCAAAGGGCCGCGTGTGCGCAGCGCGCGCGGACGTCTGGCCTTGTAAGTTTTGTTGCAGAGAGCAAGAAAAACGGGTCGAGCAAAGGGCACCGCCTCCCAAGCAGGTGCGTGCGGGGCTCTTCTCAGCGAGGGGGTGCGGAAGCGAAGGAGTGAGATTTTACAAACAGGCAGAGCAGCGGGTGATACAAAGGGCAACCCCTCCAGAGCAGCTTGGGTCGCTGTCGATGACCCTTGTCACAACGCCGCGAAGACGCCCCGCTCTCAAGCCAGCGGGGCCCAGGCTGGGCGAACCTCCCGGAGCTGTCGCGAACACCCGACATCCACGTGCGCACTCTGGATCGCTCCCAAAGGTGCTAATCCGAAACGCGCGGCGAGATGGCGGCGAGAAAGCTGCACCACAGTGCACCATTCCGATGCCGCGTGCGCACGAACAGACCTCGAATTTTTCGGACCCGACCGGAAGTCGCCCCCGGCGACGGAGAAAGCGAGATGCACCCACCTGGAGCGCGCTCTACCACCGTGGGTAGGGACCGGTTGGGCTCAGATCGACGCGCGCGACCTGCGGCGAGCCCCCCCTCGGCCCCGGAGGCCTGAGCGGGAGGCCGACCCGGCGACACGGGGCTCCACGCCGCGCCAACCTCCTCACCGCCGTGCGGCCGAACACCCCGCTTCCCGGCTCGAGGGTCTTCACAGCTTCGCCCGCAACGTTGTCGTTCTCCGCTGGCTGCTGCGCCTGACAGCCTGCCTGCACGGTGGCACACTGGGTGCGCTCACCCGAGGTCCACGCCAAACGTAGTGCGCTGGGCCTGCTTGCCTACAAATCCGGTCACCGTCATGAGGTGGGCTTGACGTAACCGTAACGACGCAATGCACGAGACGCGGCGGGCACCTGTGCCCGTCCGGGTCGGCCCCATGGCGTACCTGGGGCGCTGCCGTCAGCCTTGTGAGATTTGCCTGTCCGTTACTCAGCCGCGTCGGGTGGACCTGTTGGCCTGCCCGTGTCCCAACTGGCTGTACTGCCGTCCTCGTGGCGAAGCTGAACGCGGGAACTGTTGTACGAGAGGGGGGTGCGTGTTGGACCCTTCGAAAGATTTTCGCGCTTCCTGGTCGCTCCAAGCTGCAGCGGGACGGAGGGTGGGGTGATTGGGGGCCGTGGTCTGAGAGGAGGAAGGGGGGAGTGATACCGGGAGGGTGCTGTGGGCGGAGGGGAATTGGAGGGCGGACGCTGCCGCGGGCTTTCCCCTCAGGCCTGGGAACGCGCAGGAAGGTCATGTGTGACGTGAGCGCCTTCTCACTCTCGCACACGAGTGAGGGGTGACCCCCTCCAGCCAATTGCAGTCACACTTCCGGGGGCCTCTCGTCGCCCCCCGTGCTGTGGCTCCGCCTGTTTCGTCAGGCGCCGGGGTGTGCCGACGCAATCCCCGTTGGTTGTAGCCTTCCCAGCTTTATACTAATGGTGCATCATTTTACAGACGTTGCGGCATCTTCGTGGTGCCGTGCCGAAACGTTGAGCACCTTAGGATTTTGTTTCTGGCTTTCGGGTACACACCAGTCACAAAAGAGATCACGATTATAGCCAAAAAACTTGGTACACAACAGCCGCCACCGAGATCGCGATTGTACTCAAAGGCTACACCACCAACAATGTGCCTCCCTTCAATGCCACGCTCGCAGTTGCAAACGTCGCAATCCTCCCACATGGAAAATCGTCGCAACGGCAAAGATGCAGAGCAGGCCAGAAGCATGGCATCGCTGCCAAGACGTCAGGGACATAAGGGTGTGGCGGATTGGACCTTGCCCTTGGCGCCAATCGGTGTGCCGATGAGACGAATGGCAGGCCCCGCTGCAAAACAGGAGGCGCTGTCATTGTTGAGCATTGGCACGCTTGCGCAACAACCAAAGTCGAAAAGAAAACAGCGGTGGAAGATTGCACACCACTGGAAACAATCTCAGCCCCTGATGCAGAGCACTTCGAGAGAGTGATGCACATGTCGAAATACGAGGAAAGGCACGCTTTGACAGGAGGCCCCGCGAACGATGTAGACCCAGCCCGCCCCGAACTTCGCAGCGGAGTTCCCTTCCCAACCTCCAACCCTTCCAGTTTTGAAAAGACCCCATCATCAAATCACCATATGCATTGCACCGGGCCCGACCATCAAAGCGCGAACTTCGCCACGAACTTCGCATCGAACTGCGAATTAGGTGCCCCTCCCCCCGCCCCCTCCCCCCCCGTCCGCATCTATGCAGAATGCGACCATGGTTGCCCTGGTTGCTGGTGGGAAAGGGGCCCACAGCCACGGGGACCATACTATGGCGCTCTCTAGGGCCGATGGCGATACTGGGTCGCCCCGCACGCGTTTCTACCGCCCAGCGTGCGTCCAGCCGTTGCGAGTCGCGCGCTTATGGAGGCGCGCCTCGGTCCGCATGCCCACGGGCTTCCCCTTGGTTCCCAACGCCCATGACTGGCTTTTCGACACTGATAATCCTCGCGTTGCGAAGGGGAGTTGAACCGTAGGATGGGCAAGGGGCGCCACAGCGGTGAATGCGGGGAGGGGTTGCGGAAAGACGCCCCCCCGTGGACGAGAGAACCGCGCCGGAATCCTGCTGATGGTGGCCTTTCGCTCCAAATATGGCCCCGCGTGGTGGACAAGGGGCGTCACGACGGCCAGTGAATGAACAGAATGTGCGAGATGTGCGGAAAGGGGCCCGGAAGGCGGCCCCTCGCGGCCAGAGATCCCGCGCCGAACTCCTTCAGATGGGCTGGGTCCTTGCGATCCAAATAGTGCGCTGGGCGTCGGCCGTCCAGTCGTCACGCAGGTGCTGCGCGGACTGAAGGCGTCCGGGCATACTCGCCGCGCTGAACTGCAGTCCTAAATCATTTGGTTCTCGTAGCACAGGCAAGGCCTTGTCTTTTGTATGCTGCGTTTCGGTCTCCAGCTTCTGCGCCGTGGCCGTTGAAAGAAGTGTAGGGGATGCACGGCGTCCCTCTCAGCAGCCTGCAGGCTGCGCCGGGCCGTCAGGGCCCTTCCCTTTTCAACTCCGCCAACCAGTCAGCCCGTGCTGGGGCTTTGGCGGCCTCCCGGCAGGTGCCTCAACCCAGCGTGCTGTTTTCAGGTTGTGCGGTTGTGGAGGCGTAGGTCAGAATATTCGCTTTTGGCAAACAGGGAGCATATTTTTGGTTGGGCGACTTCGTGGAAGCTTCCTCCCCGAATTTTCGATGCCTGTTGGTTATTTCTGCCCTGACATGCTCCGACACAATTTCAGTCCAGATTTTTGAAACGAGCGGGTTGGTCAAAAAGGGCGCTCAGAGCGCACTTTTCCTGGCAATGCCCTTGGCACTGTACTTAGGCGGGTGTTGAAACGATTATGAATAAAGGACCCAACCCGTAGCTCTATTTCAAGTTTTAGAGAATCTCACAATCTACAGAAGCATGAATTTTCGGGCTTGTAGACTTCCCTCTTGAGAAGAGCGCCAGCGCCACACTCCAACGCTGTGCCTGTCAGATCTGCGGCGCAGCTCTCATGGTTTCCTGTGGTACTCCGCAACAGCCCCCCAAAGCTGTGCAACGAATTTGACCAGGACAGCCTTCGAGCCTCGCGTCGGGGGGGATGCCGATCTGGACATGGCAACAACTTGCCACACCAGGCCGCATTCCGTTCACTTCCAATCCAGGCCTGGGCATGGACTATTGCATGCTGCCTTGACTGACGGCTAACACTGCACACCACAGCTAGATCAATGGACTTCAATTCCTTTAGGCGGGGCGCAAAGCCGGGTTGTCTACATTTGACATGGCATGACAGACATGACAAACAGCTGCGCTTTCACTCATCGGTGCAATTTCGCCACCGCCAGGTTGGCGCCCACAAGGACAGTGGGCCTCACATACCCGCTTTCCTCACCAAAGGTAGCTACATCGGTTTGTGTCCACAAGCTTGGGAGTCCAGAATTTAAATTATCAGAGCGTTCCCGGCAAGGTTGCTAGTAGCACTGACGGCTGGTGCCACTGTCGGCTGGGGCACCCAATGGGAAAACGGGGCGACGGTGACATGCAGATGGCAGCAACGCCTATTCGAAGCGCAGCCACACCGGAGGAGCGTAGATTGAATAGCAGAGAAACAGCACTTGGAGCACCTACCCCATCGTCTTGGGCCAATCGCCCCTGTGTTCACGCAATCCGCGAAAAACCCTACTGACTCTAAAGGGAAGGGGTTCGTCGTATTGAATGATTGAGAGGAGCACATTAATCAATAGCGATAAGCAGCGAAGTCCACCCCAATCTCTGGGGCCACGTCGCACCTACAATTGTACGATAGCATTGTACGCTCTTCGCTAAAACTGCGGCTCTAAAGCAACAAGGTTTGGGGTTTTATGGTACAATGCTGTACCGTAATATTTGCTCAACTACGAAAGAGCTCATAACCTCCAGCAGGAAGAAAACCAAACGGTCTGAGTATGAAAAGGGTGCAGCAGCAGTTGCGCGCTGTCAGCGGCACCGCCACCCCAAAGCTGGAAATGTGCTTGTCAATGCTCATCCATGGAATCGTCATTCCTCGTATTAGCACCCTAATGACGTCCACAGACTTCCAGGAAGAAAACAACCACGGGGCTCGAGTGAGATGGCTACAGCAGTGATCGGACGCCGCTAGCAGCACCGCCACCACACAGCCCCAAATGTGCTGTTGTAACCGGAACCGATTGAGTATTATCAATAGCTGGATGCATGGAGAGGTGATGAGACAATATGAATTGAACTAGGGACAGTGATGAACTGAGCAGGTATATAAGGGACAGAATTCCCCCTTTGCTTGGCTGTAAGTCGTCGCCGTGTACTCGAGCCTGCGGTCCCCAGTCGGGGTTCGGCACCCCTCGACCCTGCCCGCCTTCGTCTCGGGTTCATTCCGGGAATCGTCATCGCTCCCGCAAAGCACCCAAAAGACGTCCTCAGGAGCGGCTCGGCGCCGAAAATTGCCCCCATGGCGATTTCCTGGGGCGCCCTCCACGCGGCCGTCGCCGCCTCCTTGCTCCTGGCCGCGGGCCAGCCTCCACCCTCATCCAATGGTGGGCCCCCTGGCGCGCCCCACGGCCCGTTCCCGGCGGGATGCAGGTGGCGGGAAAGCGCCGCTGGCGGGCGACGCGAGTACTGGAGGGAGGAACAGCGCGCCTGGGCGCCGGAGCCGCTTCCCGAAGCCTGCCTGGTGCGCGGACTGGCGCGGCCCAAAAGGCAAGCATCCGTCCGCGAAAAGAGCGGTTGGATTATGAATCCGCTGGATCACTTGATGCATGGAACTGGGAGTGGGGAATATTTTTTGTGATTCCAAAAAACGATCTCGTCAGATTTCAGTGTCCAGGTGCCACGGTCGTCCTAGTACGAGATATGAGAGCCCAACCAGCGAGGGCGTGCAAGGTGATGTAAAGGGCCCAAAGGTGCTCGCATCCAGGTGATTGCTAGGAGTTGGGTTTGGGATTGGGATTCGGATTGAGGATCTCAATCCGAATTCCTACAGTCATTCACATTGGGGATATGTGCAAGAATCTTGCAAGAATCGCTGCCAGATGTACAGGTGCTTTGGCATGTTTTGCTGTCAGTTGCATCGGCATCGATGCACTCGTGCTGGCAGTTGTCCACAATCAAGTTTCTGATTGTGTGCGGGTGCTGTGGGGAGTCCAAAAGCCAGCTCCAGCCGCCTGGTAAGGGGGTGGCGTCCCATAGAAGCGCCGTTGATGAGGATCAGATGGTCTACATTAAAGGGAAAGGGACACAATGTGCCAGTTCAAGTTGTGGTGGCCACAACGGATGCGCCATCAGGCTTTTTATGTTTCCCGATGAAGCTCGGCTCTGTGCATGTTTATCTTCCTGACAGCTCTGGGTTGCTTCTTCAGCGTCTGACAGTCAACCTGTTGTACCTAAGGCTGTCATCAGGGGAGCAGTGCAAGGGCTCCTAAACTGTGCCCCTCCCTGAGCCTAGGGTCTGTGCCCATTGCTCCCACATGCAAGGTCACGGCTGAGGCCCAGATCGCCAGTCACATGTTTTTGTTGCTTTTCTCTGGGCTGCAGGATTTCAGATCTCCATGCTAGTGCACAAATTTCTCATATTTGTTGGCCCTTGTGCATTTTGCATTGTACAGCATATGTTGTAGTTGTTAAAGGCACAGTAGAGCATACCTTCCAAAACTGCTGTGACTGCATTATCGCGGTATTGTAAAGCACCGGCTTGCCGCTTGTGTGGGGATGTCAGGCATGGATGGACATCCAACAAGCAATGGTACATGACGTGTTGATCTGCTCTTGATTTCCAAACCGTGCTTTTGTTAGCTTCTTGTGTGACCCACCTTTTTCCACTGTATCCAGGCACCAGTGGCATGATGGTACCCCACATTCGCAGCTTTCTTGCACGAATGAATACTGCAGCTGCAGAAATTTGTGGTGAGCATGGCTACACCAATGGCGCACCCATCTGGGGATACGCACCTCCCTGCTGCCCAACTCTATCCGAGCCAGCTGCAGACAAGCCAGGGCCCTGGATCACTGAAAGGCAGCCTTCTCTTATTTGGTTCGAATAAAGACATTAAAGACAAAGCTTCCCATTGTTAGTGGATGCTTTGCCGCTGTCAATGGCTCAGCAGCAGTCTGTCTGGGCAACGATCCCTTTCCAGGTACCTTCGATCAACTCCATGCAATGGTAATGATGGAAGACCCTTCTGTCCATGCAAGGTGGACCAGCTGTGATTGTTTTGCTCCAATCTGGTGTGTGGTCACTGTCTGTTACTACACATTTCCTACTATGATGAAGCAGAAATGGAGCTACATCGTGCAATGAATGACATGAGTTACCAGCTCTACCCTGCATCGAAGCGTTGACGCTATTTTGCTGATCAACCTGGGAGAGATTTCTGCAGTACTGAGCCTCATTCAACAGCACTGATGTCTCAATTGCAAAGTCCACGTTTGTCCAGTGTGGGCCAAAAAGAAGGAACTGTCTTCTGGATGTTCATATACAACTAATAGTCCCTTCAATGTGTTTGGTACCCAATATTGTGTTGCAACATTGTGGTATAATGCACGATTGCGTTGCCAGCAGCTCAACAAACGATAACGAAATTCCTCCAGCCGAAGAATGGCAAAGTCTCCCTTCTCAGTTCATGAAATACTGCCGTGCACAGCCAGACTGGACCAGATACTGCTGGCCAGCCTGAGCAACCTTATCCACCCCATCACTCGGATACATTGGCCTGCTGAGCACAAATCTTGGCTCGTGTTCCTTGAACGTGGCGATGGCCGTTTGACAGAATACCAATGCGTTGCCTGATTGTTGTCACTGCCATGGTAGGTACAACAACGGCCAATGGTACGTCATTGTTAAGGATTCGAACCCAGTGGTGAGGGATGCACGCGCACTGTGCTGCTTCTCGCTTCTGGCAACAGCTTGTGTACGGCACCATTGCCACAGCGCTTATCAACACAACACACCATTTGCTGGCTTGGATATTGCGCGTTGACACATTCACTGCCGCTGCAATGTATTGTCTTCTTGTGGCTGACCGCTCTCAAGCGTATGGTGCTCAATGCAAACAGACGTCCAGCGTAGTACCCCTTTTGGCCAAAATGGACAAAAGAGCGTGATCTTGGTACATTGGCCTTATTTGTTCAACAATATAACATCACATTCAAGAATCCAGATGCCACCAGCACCGGACTATTAGATGTGGTACAACATTCTGGAATCAGAGAGCAAAGACTGTGGCCTTGCCTTCACTGTGCCCGAAGAGGTGTTTGCTCAAAGATGCACGGCTTGCTTGAATAGGCTGCATAGGTGTTTCAGGCCCGCGGCGGTTTTACTAAAAAATGTGCTGATGCACGCCGAGTACACATAACCACACAGATCCTGTCCATGCTGAGTTGCTAAAGTCACGTATTGATTGCATAAAGCATGCTGGAACCAGATCAATCTTCACACTGATCGTTGCAGTGCTGTTATGCCATGTCGCGAGTGGAAATGTCTGTGTGGTACCGACCACTACCAGGCATGTGTACCAGCAACAGATAGAGATTTGTGTCGAAGCTGTGTGGCTATCAGCTCGCAACATCGACGCAACCACATTCCGTTGGATCTCGGTATGAAGTGCTTGGTTGCGGGGGCTGACGGAATTTCTGCCATGCATCTGTCTGAAGAATACGGGGCGTGGGATTCTTGTGCTATTGGAGTAGTTTGACCAAAATGGTGTTTCTGAAGCAAGCAGTGAAAAGCAACGTTTACGGTTGGCCAAGCATTTACCGTACTTGGGATATTCCTTGGAGCATCAAAGCCGGATGACACTTGGACCGGAGTCCCGTCCATGTGCCACAGCGATACAGCAAACATTACTTTGTGTGTGGCCGAGCGGGTGGATTGCAGAGTTATGCAAAATGGGGGACAAGAAACTGCGTTGGGACCATATGAGGCCCTCATCCCTTTCAAGGTGCATGGAAACTGCCCTTTCCGATGGAAGCAGATGCAACAGGAGGGCAGGCACCGGCAGCGACTGCACGAGTGTGAGACGTTGACGCGCCTGCCTGTCGTTGTCTGCCCGCAGAGGAATTTCATGATCAGCCGGAATCAGGAGATCAGGGCCGTCCATTTCTCCAAGCCCTCAAAGTTTGTCGACGCTGTTCGGTGGCGGGTTGTTCCTGGAGCCACCCTCCTCTATGACTACGTTTACTTTCTGCACCCAGTGAGCCCCAAGGCCGAAAGCGACCTCGTTGCGATGTGGCGGTTGCACAGGCGCCCCCGCTTGCCTGTTCTTGTGCATCGCACACGCTGCCTATCCGTGCCCAAATGGTGGCAATTCACCAGAAGCTGCGCGCCACAAATGCACCGCAAGTCGCGTGGGATACCCACTGTCTATATTTTTTGACTCTATTGTGTGTGTGCTGTGTGATTAGAGGCTGGAATGGCATGTCCAGAGCGATTCCAACGGACATGTACCATTAGTAATGCCGCAGTGACAAACATTGCCCAATGTGGTAAAATTGATGACGTGTCAATCTGCTTTACCTGACACCAAACCAAACCTTGTGCAACGGCTTGTTTGTTTCTTTGTTTCGTTGTTCCTTACACGGGTGCGTCGGCATGATGTCACAGCATCGACAGCAATCCAGTGTACGAAGGGCGCGTTGTAGGTCATCTATGCTTCGAACAGCGCGACTCAAACGGCGGTCGATAATATCTCCATTCCCCTGCTATATAATGGTATAAAACTTGCGCAGCGGTGTCCTGTCACTCTGTTTCCCAGCTTTCTCCTTTGCTTATACTATGTTCTGTCATTCATATGAACTGTCTGGAGTCACAGTGCTGACCCTGTGCATCGACCACGTTGTATAGGTTCAAGTTTCATTGTTTTGGCAGCTAAACAGCTGCGGCACCCTGGCGCGGCCGTTGAGAAACTTCAGAACACTGACACATCACACATCACGCAAATCACACATCACACATCACACATCACACATCACGGGATTGTCAAGCTCGCCTGGCCTCTCGAATGCCTTCAGTTTTGCACGACCAATCATATTTTTCCCACTGCTGCAGAACGCAATCGGACACTGGCTGGAGTTCGTGGCGCCGCTGTTCAGCGTCCTGAGGCGCGATAACACCGGATTCCCCACGCCCCCCCGGCAGTGCGTGCTGCTGCGCATGAAGCGATCTCACATGGGCCCATGGGTCCGATCGACGCTGTCGCTGGCGGTCGGGGCGCCGCCCGAGGGACCTCTGCCGCCCCTGATGTTCCAGCAAGAGACCGAAGGCATCTACGGCCAGCTGTGTATGCAAAATCAGAGCTGCCTGCGTTGCGATCTTTAGTGTACTTCCGTCCAGGAAATGCAGCTGGTGAAATTCCAAATTTCTGTCTGCTCGCCCATCCTCGAAGGGATGGCGCTGGTTGAGTGTGCTCGCAGTGCTCGCCAATCTGCTGACGCCTCATGTCGGCGTTGATTTCACAGCAAGGCATCTTCAGAAGCTCGCCAAAACAACTTTCTGCGTCATATATGCCCCCACATCCAGATTGAACAATCGGACTCATTTTCCGCTCTTAACTGCGATACGATGTTTTGGAACGGGCTTGAAGACAGTTCACAAACAATCAACCAAACTGCGACGCGTCTCCAGCGCATATGAGAGCGCATAATACGATTCCGAACTGGATCGAAACGTGTCGCGAGCTCGCCGAGCTTTTCACTGTTGGACAGGGGATCCTTGGCGCGTGTTTCAGCTGTAGGAGCGGTCGCCCTTTATCTACTGGGCAGTCTTGACCTCCTGTTTGGGGAACTCAGCGATGCCGCTGGAGGGATTCCTCCCCATCGAGTGGGTGTGCTTCGAGCACGTCCTGATCATGAAGGACGTAAGCTTGGGGGGCCCTCGCACTTTCCTCTCCTCTGAAGATGCTCGCATGTTCCGCCAGATGGCCTACACACGCCAAGGTGCGCAGGGGGCGGTCCTTGAAGCGCCTCCCTTGCGCCCTGCTCGCGAATGCGATGTGGCATTGGAATGGGTCTGAATTTCTGGCGTCGCCTTGCGCTTTCGTCGCGACGAATGTAGATTTCCGTTTGAGAATGCGCCTCTGTTGAATTCCTAGGATGGGATTTCCAATCTTCAGAACACTGCCCTCGCACCTGTGGGCCACCTGGCAACTATCGAGGCATCCAAGACGTTGGTTTGTGACGTCGTACGATTCCGACGGGTGCTTGAAGCGATCATCCTGTCCTGAACAGATGCGGAAGTGCGCGTGATCGCGGTTCAGATTGTAGGGCTGTTGTTACAACACAGAAAACTACCAAGATTTGCTTCTCTTCCGCATCAGGGCTCCCAGCACCAGCTCCCAGGCTTGCTCTGCCGGTGATAACTTACCAGAAGAAGATGGCAAACAGGAGAATTGCGAACGAAGTCGAGCTCGTAGAAGCGCTCAGCGAATTCGGTCAGGTGCGGAACAACGCTGTAGGCTCCGTTGCGTGGCCCAACAACGCGCTGGAAATCGCCAAACCACAGTTTGCGAGCATCGCCTTTCCAATGTCGCCATCTCTGACTCTTTTGGCATAGAGAGGAGGCTCCCATGAAATGCGAGCATTTCCACATGGAAGCCGACTGAAAATTTGCCAGCGTCAGTTTTTGCATTGCAAAAGTTAATATGCGCTGTGACATGATTCCCAGCCTGTCGCCAGTCCGATGCTGCGGTGGTGGCGGTACAATGTCCGGATCCAAATACAAGCCGGCGATGGATACCTGGGCGAATTGCGCTGCATTATTCGATGATGCTGTACAGCTCGTGTGTTGGTAGATTGCCAGAAATTGTCCTGTGCACAACACACGCAGGGGGCCCATATGCCGTGGCAATACGGTGTTTATTCAGGTTTCAATTCTATAGCATCAATATACATCATTGGATTCAAATCTACTATGTTTTAATGTAATTATTCTAGTAGACAATCTTAGATATTAAATTTGATGTACCAGAATTAAGCACATTCGGTTTTTCGTCTATTTATGCCCCATGACCCCCCATGGGGGATCAGACTCTGCTGCCTTCAGTTCCCTCATGATGCAGCATGTCCACACATGTGCCTGCAGGTCCGAACGGTGGCGTTCGACGCTTCGTCCTCGTTCGAAGATCAGCTGGAGGCCGTTCGAGAAACGGGAATCTTCGTGTCGGTACACACATCCAACCTGGCCAACGCCGCATTCCTTTGGCCCGGCTCCGTGGTCATCGAAATCCTGCAAGTGCGCGGAACGCCTTTCACCCTCCCTTTGTTTATTGGCAGGACAAAGGGAGGGACGACAGCTGTCGAGCGCACCAACACTGATGGAATCGAATCCAATTCGAAATCGACTCTAAGCGAGATGCATCGCGACATAGGCGCCTTGGCAAGTCCTTGGGGATACAAAGGATATCGCCCGCTGGCTTTCCTTGAGGGGGACGTCAACTTTGCGGCACACCTGCAAATGGCGGGCCGCCATGCATGGGTTGCTGCCTCCTTGTACCTCCCTTTTACTTGCCAGTACTTGCTTTCATTGCCTACCACAGGAAGCACTTGTCAGCACATGATATAATTTTATTGCAGTGGCCATATAAGATCCTATCATCCCTGAAGTCCAGCAGCAGGCGCATTTGGAGGCAATGAAAATTTGGCAATCAGCCGCTACTAGGATACTGGGCTAAGCGTGCTGCTGATCCTATGCTTCAGGTACGGAACCAAATTTGCTAATATGAATATACAATGAATATGCGCAATTGTAGCACAATAAGATAATAGCGAATATTTTGTGAAAATAAAGAACAAGATTTCACAGACAGGATGTCTTCACCTATGATTTCTTGTTTTCAGCGCCACTGGTCTTGGGAGGGGATGGGACAGGGGTTCAAAGAGCACACGAACCTCCTGGCGGACGTTCACCACTTCGGGCTCAGGGCGCAGGGCCTGAACGAGACCCTGTACCTGGATCCCAGGGACCACAGGAGGTGGGATGCATCTGGCAGCACATGACTCTTCTGTCTTCACGTTGCAATTGCTTCTCTTAATTGGATTTGTCTTGTTTTTGACGTAATTTGGTCAAAATTGTTGTAATTTCTTGGGTTGACGTGGGAGAATCCCATGAAAGTTAATTTTATTTCCATCTTTTGTGGATGCGGTCGCTGCTGCCGCTGGCTGCCATTGCAATAACAATGCGTGCCGCAGTCGATATGGAACATGAAGAGCAACCAGGCAAACCGTCGCCGCCAGAACAGCAAGAAACCAGCTGCAGTCTTTGCGCCAGAGGCTGCCGTCAAATGAGTTCCTGATTTTTCGATGATTCCTGGTTGAGTTTTCCAAGCTGTTTAGTGGTTGAAGGTCCACTCGCTGTTGCCGTGAGTGATGAACGGTATTACCTACAGCCTGCCGGCGACGCCGCTCGCACCTCCCATTGCTGAGAGTTGGGACCTGCGCCATGCTCAAAACTCAGCATGATTTTTTTTTTTTTTTTGGTTACTTTGGTAGGGCGTTGCCTGAGGCGTATCCCATATATCGTGCACTGAATTCCCAGTCCGCCACGAAGTATTGACAACGGTTCTTGGGACTTGGCAGTGTAATTATGAGCGCGTCCAGTACAACATGCTCGGTAGCAGTTGCGAAAAGTTGTGAGGAACGTACATTACAGTTTCACTGCGCAGAGCTTCGGTCTTTTCGCGTGCTCCCCCTGTCATGGATCATTCTGAAGGGCAATGTATTGAGGTCATAGCACGGACGGTGACATCCACATTTTTGTCATAACATCACATTTCACCCATAAAAAATCGGTCAACATCTACGGTTTCAAACGGTACAAAACTCGTGCAAAATCATGCCAAAACGTGCAAAAATCCTGCCCACTCACTCAATCATTCCTACACGGCTTAGCTACACTTGAATACGATAAACGCTCGATAAATACACGATTTTTGCACGACTTTCAGTCGTGTTGCAAGTTACACGATTTTCGAAACCGCGTACTTTGGCCTGTTAATTTCCTTGTATGATATCTTGTTCTACCCGCTCTCCGGTGCGCGGCGGCCTTGGAATCTCGTCAACTTGGGGCAGAAGTGGCTGCTTTTGTAATGCAGGTTCGCTGAATGGACGGCCGACCAGTGCCGGACAGAGGAGTGCATGGAGGCCCACACGAATGTCGATGTGGTCGTGGATGTTTCCAGACTGAGAGATTTGCTGCGCGCGGCGATGCCTCAAGTGCACCAAGGTACCAATCGCGCCGCGGTTGTGGTTCAATACACATGGGCCGATTGCCCACGCCACCGCTTTGCCCGGCCTCACGTCCCGTATGGGTTTGTCGCATTCTCTTTTATTCTCACCTGTCTTTATCACACCAAGAGTGTATTGTCTGACAGGAGGTGTGGGTCACACAGCGCTGCGCGAAACACTAGAATCTTTGGTTGGACAAGGTAGTCGCAGTCTGACCTGGCGTTTTGCGCTTGGGATCGCGGCTAGACTCCGTTTGTCGAGCTCGGTAATTCTCAACAGTTTTGGACATGTGGTTTGATATACGCCACTCGAGCCCTGCCCCTTTTCTAATGCGTGCCGCTCATCGCGAGCAACGATCCATCCTAGGATTCGGATGGCGCGCGAGCCTTCGCAATTCATAATCCCCGCGTCCAGAATGTGAAGGTTTATTGAATTATGGTGGTGTAATGTCCACAATACCTTGTGCTTTTCAAACAAACACAAATGTCCGATGGCCTTCATTTCTGGATGTGAACTTGCGAAGCCATGAAGGTCATGAAGGTATGAAGTTCATGCAGGTTATTTGCGTTTTTGATGTGTTTAGGTGTTTCGGCTTTTAGGGTGCTAGGCTTCAAGGATTATAGGTCCACATTACCCTTCACGACCTTACCGTATTCGATGACAACATGTATCGGACAATCCTCCAAAAAACGACATCGCTCACGAACCACGTCTGTAAAATTGGACAAATAGTGGGGAAGGGCAAAAAAGCAGCCCTGCCCACTTGCGCAACTCGGTGTTCAGACCTAATTCTAACACACAAGAACGACCGGCACATGTTGATGGACTGGCGTGCAAAGTCACGTGTACACAATAGCTTGGGGCAGACCCTCACAGACGCTTGCCTCCGGGGCATCGTGAATTCAACATTTTCTTCAACATCGCCATTAGATGTTTACACAGTACACCTTCTACGAGCGTCGACGCACTCAGCTTCCGCGCAGGTTTGCCTCCCAAAGATGTGGACATCCCATGGCCGATGCTGTAAACGGAGGCACGGCCGACTGGAGTCTCAACCCGATGGGGCAGGTTTCATTCACCAGGTTTGCACAGGGGGCTCAGATCAGTGTGCTGTCCATGTCCATTCGTCGCCCATGGCGCCCAGGTACAGAGCCCGCTCAGCATCGAACGCTGCGAAGGTACAACACTGGCACAGAGCACGGACACCTCAGATTTCAATGTTTACCTGTGGTGAAATGATTGGGTGTCAGCCACCAAGGGCTATGTCGCCACCCAGCCGTACAAGAACAGGATGTCCGTTGTTCGTCCCAGTGTTCGCCTCAATCATGTGTCGACCATCCGCCGATACATCGAGGCACACAAATCGCGTGTGCAGACGCCGGCCCACATGGTGACAACAGGCGTGTGGCACATGCGCAAATCTCAAGCCATCTCTTCAGGGTCTGGCTGCTCAGCGCAAAGTCTGAAATTTCATGGAGCCCGGACACAGCCGAATGGCCATGTGCCAACACCGCCGACGCTTTTTATGGCTGTTCACTCCCCCGCAAGAAAGTTTGCATTTCTTTTCAAATGGATTGAAAACTTTGTGACATTGTAGGCTGACACCACATCTCCATTGGATGCGTTTGGTTGCCTAAAGTACCGCAGATCACGGAGGACAGCGCGGGAGTTGTTGAATAGTACGGGGGCTTTTAGATGACGCCCCCGGCGTTAACGAACATGGCCGGTATTGCGGAGCGCGGGGGACATGCAAGATAGCGCAGGGGGGGGGGCACTATTTACTATTCACTTCAACATCACCTACACCCACAATGGAGATGCATTTTCACACATTCTTACATCTCATTGCATGTGCTATTGTTATCAAGCCCACCCCAACTAAACATTGTCATGACATTTTTCCTGCAATCAACCCCATGGCCTCAAGATTCTCATTGTCCAGCTCCATACTACCACCACTCGAAAAATGTCAACCCAGGCTGTCTCCAGTGCAGTGCGACGTCCCAATAGCTGTTATTGGTTGGCGCTGTGATTGAAGCCCCATGTAGTGTTATGTAATACTTCTTCCGTCCGGAATTAAATGAAACAGTTTGTTAACTGACCATATTTTTATCATGTACTTTTTGTTTTTCCTTCAGAATTGGACCAGCGTATCTACTATGTGTTTAGTCAATGCTGTCAAAATTTTGTTGACAGAAAATAAGATTCAGACATATGGTAGTACTTTGAACCCAAACGACTCAGCGCCAGAATTTGAACATTCGCAGTCAGTTCCCACCCCACCAAAACCTAGCGCCCCGGACCCCAGGAAAGCCCGGTGCACGTGTGATGCCCCTTTCAGTGGTCTTCAAAGTAATAGAAGGGGGGAGTTGCCTTGGAGCTCAGGCTCTGGCCCAAAGATCGACACCCTTCACAACGCACGATCGACAGAATTGGCACCTATGTTGGGGTACCGCCATCGATGGATGCTCGAAATCCCCCCCATCTTCCACAATAGCACACCGACATGCATGGGATCCCCCACTGCCTAGCAGTCTCCTGGTGGCTAAAAACTAGCCGCTGGATATTTGCACGCAACATAAGCTCTAGGTTCAGCACAGATCTCCGATTAGTTGCCTTCCTGATGCAAGCAACCCCTCTTTCCAAACAGGCTTCAACCCTGCCAAACATGACAATGGAGGGTTTGGATGCTCTATCGAAGACCCCACGTGTCACTATGATGGCGTTCTTGCATCTTGCCGTGGCATGGGCGAAGCTCAGTTGCAGTGGCACCTTTGAAAGCAGCATGAATTGTGCACAAAGTGTTTCTCGCGGCACGTGCCCACTGCAGCCAATTTCAACGATCTTTTGGCTGCCATGCAGCGAGGGCACCATCACATTCTCCCAAACCTTCCGTGGTAGTCTTAGCACCCATGGCGTCCTCGCCCATGGTGGGGACCCTTTCTGTAAACGCCGGGATTGTGAGGTTCGCAGATTTCTAAGTCTCCGATCCGGAGCTGCTGCCCTCACAAGGCCATCAAAACCACGGTGGCGATCAAGGATCGAATGGTACAAAAACCGGTTTTGTGATCTTCCCCCTCTGAAAAGAACGGTGTCGACCTGCCACCAAGACGGCAGCCACAAATATCCACTCTGCAATGCCCACCGTCAGTCGCAAGGCGACCTGGTCAAGGACCTGTTTTGGGGGCTGTTCGGCCAGACCTTGAGAAACCTGGACTTTTTGACCTGAATCACAAGGGTTCAAAGTACTGCCACGTGACCGGTACTTATCCATTGTCCACAAAAATTTGGCAGCATATACCTTGGTCCAATTTTGAAGGAAAACTAACAAGTTTGTGATATAAATATGGTCTCCCAAACAAACTGTTTCATTTATTTCCGGACGGAGGAAGTATTATGCAATACTATGTAATGCTATGCAATGTTCTGTAATACGCTAAATTGGCCGGGCGCCGGCTCGCTTTGCCAACCAATCTGGCAACGCTGGTGGCGGGGCATAATGCAGCGACCTGTGGCTTCCCATCACTTGTTCTGACGCCGGGTTTGGCGCCTTATGTAATGCGCTAAGTTGGTGGGGCGCCGGTACGCTTTGTTGGCGGTACGCGGGCCAGCGCAATAACGCGGGGGGCGCTGCTGAGTCAACGACCTGATGTGGAACGCGGGGTGCACGCAGGGCAGCGCCCCCAGCATTCCTGACGTCAGCCCTGATGTGGAACGCGGGGGGCCCCTATCCTCCGTGATCAACGGTACCGATGTTCGTGCACACTGCACAGCATGAGCTGGCCTGTATACTGCCAAGAATGAGCCAAGCCGAAAGGGACCGCTGTTTGGGGCAGTGCCCTATTTGGTGGGCGCAATTTCGAGACCCCCGCTGCGGCACATCTAACAACTTTGGCCAGTTGTGCTACTCCTTGTGCATGTCAATGCGCAAAAATGATGATCATGTGCATTGAGACTGGTGCGCACAGACGGCCACAAAATTGTTGTTATGTGGCCATATTGTTCGCAAAGGCAAACTGTGTGCAATATTGAGCGGCAACAATGGTCACAACATAGCAAGTTTTGCATTTCGCAGAATAGCAAATCTTCATTCCTTCAAACAATAGCAACTCCCATAAAGAATATTTGTATGTGATGATGACTACTATTATCTGTGGGTCATATCTCCGTAGGCATTTCCTGGAGTGCTTTAGAGCAGTGGCGCTACGTCCAACAAGTAACAGCAATAACTTGGTCACACAGCAGCTGCCGACACAATATGTCTTTCTGACCAGCGATGCATCTAGCATGCATCTGGGGTGCATCTGGCATACATCTGGCATGCGTCTGTGTTGCATCTGGGATGCATCTAGCCTGCACTCACACAGTGCAGGAGCCCCTCCCAGAGACGAGAGCACACCAATGTGGCCCTTCCAACAAATGGAAGCACAGTTGATCGAAGCATAAATCTGACTAAAGCAGATTCCAACCAGGATGCACACTTGAGGAACGAATGGCACAAGCTGGCCTGGGGCATCCATGGCCAACCATGGCAAAATTAGTACAGTATGCATTTGGACTAGCAAAGACGTTCAATATACGTTCGATTCCTTCATGGTGGCAGCCCTCCACCACAGTCATGCATTACCATTCATCCGTTTTGGCACTGTGTTGTGAGAAAGAGACAAACGACAAGCCAAGAAGAATGCATCCACCATACTGCCTGGGGTGGGAATATATCATGGAGATGCTTTTCCAAGGCGCACAGAAGGTCTGCTACTGATTACAGTGCCACAGCTGCCACTGCCATCGATGTTGAACCACAAGACAGTCCAAGCCTTGATTGACTGATCCGTCATTGCAGTACAAAATGCATGTATTCAGTGGCTGTGAATGCCCCAGGCTGAACACCTGGCCATGATAACAATCCTGCACACTGCAGTGCACAATGGCACTTGAGTGTGGATGCACACCTCTTGTGATACACCTTGACTGTGCCCAGGACAAGTCGTCCAGCCATGCGATGCACATCATACCAGTCTCCAATACTTCTTGCCGCCAAACTGTTCTTGTACTGGGAAGTAGCGCAAATGAACGTGTCATTTGTGTGGGCCACAACTTTGCCTTGTGCTGGACATCCTGCAACACATGACCATTGTTGCCCTTGCTCTTGTTCCCCGCCCATCTAATACCCCCCAGCTAACCCAGCTAACCACCCCAGTGTCCCAAACCAAAACTCCAAGGACCCAACGAAAACAAAATGGAGTCCCAGCACCAAAATGCCCTCCCTACAAGGGCCTGTCTCCAAAGAACTGCAGCGCCTCGGCCAGCCTGTGCCTCACCACATTCACAACGGGGTCCGTGGCCACCAGCAGGTTCTCTTGCGGGCCCAGCACCAGCCCGCTCCCATGCTGACACACAGACAGCCCGCTCAGGCAGTAGCACGTGTGGTAATAGTCTGCCCCCTTCCCCGGCTTGTCCCTCAGCCCGCCCTTCTTCGACTGGCAGCTCCTCAAGATCCAGAACTGCAGCGCCCCCGCGTTCCCCCACGCCCACTCCCACTCCCGCCCCCCCTCGCCCACCGGCAGCCTCGTCCCGAGCTCCTCCGCCTTCTCCTCGGTCAGGAAGCCGCTCGCGGACGCCTCAGCGGCCTCCATCGCCCCCTTGGCCTCCTGTAGTGACTCTTTGATCCCTTCCGTATCTGGGCCCTCCTCGGACCCCCCCTCCTCCCCTACCCGCTCGGCCTCCTCCAGTGCCTCGGCCAGCTGCCGGCCCAGCCGCTCCAGCTCCCCCCTCTGCGCCTCCCGGAGCTGCTCCCGTGGCCCCAGAGCCCGCGGCAGCTCTGGCAGGTCCATGACATCCGGCACATCGAAGTCCAGTCCCCCATCTCCCACCACCTCATTCCCGCCCCAGCCTCTCAGGAAGGGCGGCACCGGCAGTTGAGCCGCCAGGGCGCCCCCCGCCGCCCTCAGCAGTGCCGGCACGGCCCCCTGCCAGTACGAGTAGCACCCGTCCACCAGCTTGTTCGTCCTTCCCATGTACCCTCCCTCCACTGCCCCCTGCATACCAGCAACCCAGTGTGCTAGCCTTGGCAAATCCAAAGCGTCCGCCCTACCCAGCAGCACCAGGGTCGCTAAACCGCAAAAGGTGTAACCCCCGTGCGCCTCGTTGCCCGGCTCGCCACCCAAACCCCCTTCATGTGTCTGGCACCTTTTTACATACTCGACCACCCCAGATCTCTCCGCGATTGCCCCCTTGTCTAAACCGAGCATATGGGCTACCGCCAGGCCGGTGTAGGCGCCCCGGACGTCCACCTCTCCGCCCTCGTGCACCGCCATGCCGCCGCCCGACTCCGGCGGCACGCACATCCGGAGGATGAAGTCGAACATTGAGGATCTGTGGACGGATGCCAGGGCTGCAGGGCCGCCGATCGTGAGGGCGGCGGCGACGGCGGCGTAGCTGGAGGCCAAGTGGGGTAGCTGGCCGGGGCCACCCCCATAGCCGCCGCTGGGGTGCTGGCAACGCCTGGGCAGCGGCGCAGATTTCTTTCAAAAGATGTTCTGGCTTGTGATAGGAGGGCGGAGACTGAGTGCTGGGGGGGGTGCTGTGATCAAGGTGCGGTCTGCGCGCCGGGAAGGGGGAAGAGGGAGGTGAGCGCGGGAAGTGAAGCGTCGTGCGACGAGAGACAAGTTCCGTGGGGGATGCGTGAGTGAAGGGAAGCCCATGGCAAAAATTGGACTGGGCAACACCCCCATCACGGGCATGTTGCTTGAGGCTGGGCACCGTGTCAGAGGGCGGGGCGCAAGCAGGCCAGCGCGAGGGGAGAGCCGCGCACGGGTTGCACACCATCCTTGGATGCGGACAGGTCCTCTCCAGCCACTATCGAGAAGAAGCCCTTTCTCGATTCGAACACCCCACCTAAGGAATGCAATGACGTCCTCGGGGGAGGGCTCATCGGGGTGCGCCGCGTCCAGCAGCGCCAGCGAGTGCACGATCCAGTAGACGAGCCACGCGCGGCTGGCGTCCAGGCAGATGAACTCGACGGGCAGGCGGCCCAGGCCGGAGACCAGGAAGTCGACGTGGACGGTCCGCAGCAGGGTCAGGTTCCGCAGCTGGTCCTCTCGAGGCGCCCGGGCGAATGCCGCGTAGCGGGGGGCCAACTTCTGCTCCAGAGCGCGCTGGTCCTGGCAGGTTTTGGTGCGCAGGCCGTCGCTGATCATCGCGGCAGCCGGGCGCGGCGGAGCGGACCAGTGGGGCTTGGGGGAGATGCGTGGGTTGGTTTTGGAGTGGTGGGTCAAGTTCCTTGGGGCCCTGGATCCCCTGGGTGTTCCCTCTTCCATGAAGACCCCTTCTTCCGCTGACGAGGCCAACGCGGGTCGGTGGGTCAGCGTTTGGGGCTTAGGGTGTCCGACACAGGAAGGGATCTTGACGAAAAAAATAGAGCGACTAATTGGGTGCCCGTCCCAAGTTTCCTATTTGCGCCCTGGCATGGCAATAATTGAGTCAATGACATTGACGGATGACCTTGTATTTAAGGGGCTGAGCCTCGAGACACTCCACTCCGCTGGAATCCGTTGCTGTGTACTCAGGCCTACGGGGCCCCATCAGGGGTTGCCCACCCTCGACCCTATCGTCCTTCATCAGCGCGAAGCGGTAGCCATGATGTGTTAATTGAAATCTAATGTACAAAACGAGCAGAGTCCAGAAATCCATCAATGTCCCAATTTGGGACCGCTGGGGCGAGGTCGATGGAGAGGCAAGGAATGCGTTGGGGAAGGGGAAAGGTGAATCTCAAAACGTGGCGCTCTTTGAGAGCAGACATTGATGGATTGTGGACCTTTTTGTGTTGTACTTCGGATGTACGTTGGATGTCAAATCATGGTTGCCGCTTTGCGTGGGCAAAATAGGAAGCTGACGGCTACCTGCTTGCCTTGCTGTGTAAAGATGAATGATGATGAATTTCAAAATGGAAGAAAGTTCGAAAAATTGGAGGGATGAGGAAAGGGAGTGATTGGTTGTAGAATGCGCGTCCCCTTTCCCCCATATAATCCAGGAAGGATGAGCCTGAGGTTCCAGGAAATTTGCAAAGCGATCCAGCGCCCAGGGCGCCCGTCGCCCCCCCGGGTGCTGTCCATGGCATTGTGTGCTCCACATCACTGATCTGTGCATCCTGGAAAGCGACGATGGAGATCGGCGTGTCTCCTGAAGCTCCGCAAACAAGCCACAGAAGCACGATTTGTGCGACCAGAAATTGGTGATTGTAGAGGTGTGCCGGGAGAAGGGCGATTCTGCTGGGACGCTTGGTTCTGGGTAATGGTGATCCCGATTTGCTCAGATTTTGCTGAGTTAAGCAAATCAACCAAGCACCAGATCAAGCAGAAGCCGCCTCTGCTAGCATGTGCACCTGGAGCTCTGCGGGGCCATCAGGCAGCGGCATCAAGAGCTGTGAAGGGGCGCAGCTTCTTGCACTCAGCGCGTTCGTATTACGTCGGGAGTAATTTCCTTGGATAAGCTGGATTCAATAACCATGGCTCACAACGGCAACTTTGCTCGAGCATTCCGCCGTGCGACACCTGCAGATATGGTTTGGAAGAAATGAACACGCTCACACGCATTGACCCGCAGCCCTGTGTCATCACGAATAAACAAGGAGCTCATGCAACCATTGGCAGTGACTGTCGGGAGTTCGCGTCGTATTGAGCGCAGCAGGCACCATCTGTATCTTGAAAAAAGTTGACGAAACGCTGTGGGTGCGCAGAAATTGCGCATTGCGAGAACTTCCACGCTGCGCCAGGCCTACAGGCCACACACCCGGCAGTTGTGGCGGATACGTGGCGACGCCCACATATACCAGCATTGATGCAATGTTGGATTCGCTCCAGCGCTTTTGAGCATGGACCCATGTGCATTGCTGCAGCTGCTCACTGGACCACGTTCGCGCCAATGCACCAACAACGCAGTGTCGTTTTCCAATATCAGATGGCATTGACAGTGGATCCTTAAGTACTGCTTCAATTACGCCAATTACCTGTTGGTGATCCTTCTGTGGGCATTGGTTTTTCGTGCATCACATTAGGTGATATCTCTGAAGACGATACGTTGCCCCACTGAGGAATATTTTGTCGACTGCAGCAGCGCTCGTTCCTGCAAATGACGTTGACAGCATTGTCACCTGAGCTCCTTTGCCCACAGGAAAGACAACCAAATGGCAACGCGTGTGCACACAGTTCGAAGCCTGAGGCTCAACGAGGGGGTCCGGAATTCCTGAAAATGAGCCTTGCCATGCACATTTGTCAATGTTAACACTAAGCTAATTATGTTGTCATGTACCCTGCCACATAGGTCCGTGGAAATTCTGCAACACAGTGGCCCCTTCCCCTGCCATGCCCTACGGGAATTTTATGGCATAGTTTATGTCTCTATTATCGCTCCAAGCTCTGGTAAAAAAACTGGTTTCTGCCAGCGCATTACACATTCCGCAATCAACTATCCATGGAGGCAGCTTCAGAAACGCAACCCAGACCACCCCAAAGGCGACTAACAAGACCACCGCGTGCATCGATACGGTGGACGGCTGCAGCGGCAGCAAGCATTCTGTTGGCCTTTCGTCCGCCGGCAGCATATGGACGAACTCTATCCTAGATTTGCGCTCAGACAGCCAAACGTCTTAGGAGACGCCGCCAAGGCCAAGGTACACTTGAGAGAACAGGTCCTGCTGCACAAACGGGAAGCCCAGACTCCGGAGTCTGGATCCAGGAGGGCTCCTCGAGGAAAACGGAGCCCGTAGCGACATTCAGTGCATTTTTTGCCACGGGTTTCAGGCCGTCGATTATGCACTCCGTGCCCCCCACGCCGGGTGCGTTCGTCGCGCAGCAGACTCACAGGTTCATGTTCGCAAAGATGAAGGCGGACGACAGGATTAGGAGGGGCAGGTGCAGTCTGAGCCTGACGGGTTGGAAGAGACCCGTGCAGGTCGTGGCCACCAGGCCGTGCAGCACCACGGCCGCGCAGGCAGACGCGGCAGGACTCCCCTTGCGGCTCACCTGCAGTAAAAGGGAGATGTAGTCCTTGGGATGGGTCCCAAACTCCAAGGAATGAAGCAATCTGGAACATAGCGCATGCCTCACCTGCACACGAATTCCGCCTTCTTCCTCTTTTGTTGATTGTTTGTTTTTAAAAGGAGCAAAAAATCGATAAGAACAATAATGAATCATGTAAGAATAATAATTAATCAATAGTGAAGATGAGAATAGTAGTGAATAGTTTTCTTTGGGTAGGGCGGGCAATACTGAGCTTCTCTTCGGAGCGTCAGGTTCGACGATGTAGACCTGAACATAGTATGTGGACGTGAACATAGTATGTATACATAGCATGTTCTCGCAGTACTACTGCGAGATCTGCTGCCAAGGGACTGAAGCAGAACATTTTCCAAAATTTGGAACTTATTTATCATCATTTAACGATGGTTGATGCTCGGCGCAGTGTGGTTAGCAACACCGCCAGTGTACATAGCACTGCTAGAAACCAAGCATTCTATACAGTAGCATCTTTGGCGCTCTTGGGTCAATTTTTCTGCCGCTTTCTTGTTCAATGCCACAAGGTCCAGATCTCTATTGTTGGGGCAGGGCTTCCACCTGGATTTTTACATGCAATATAAATTTTTGAAGTCAAAGAAGAATGCGTACGGGTATGTGGCATGCTATTATTTGGAGGAGTGCTTTGTCTTCCGTTCCATTTAAATGAAACATTTCATATTCCCACTTCTCATTCACAGTGGGACATACCCCTCACAATAGGGGCGCTGAGCTTTGCTGAACTCCATGACATTCCCCTGGCTCCTGAGACTCCTCAATTCATTACTGTTTATATAATACTATGTACTGAATATATATATATATATATATATATATACTGTTAATTAATTTCCATCGATGCCTGTGAGACTCTGGAGTCCGCCCAAACTCTCCAAATTGCTGTTTTCAATGGTCGTCAATTCCCATGTCACCAAAGGGACATGCTACAGTCCCTCAAGCCTTACAAGCATAGGGCTATCAGTGATTTCTTGAAAACCATCGGCATTCGTCAAATTCTCCAAACCCTCAGCGCACTCTATGAACTGGACTGCAACGAAAGGGATCCAAGGAGCACGCCCTGTTCATATAGCAGTGCCTCTGGTGCCTCCTCTAAAGTTTCGAACTCCTTGCCATACTACGTATTGGCAGTATGCGATAGTGCTGCATTCGCAACGGTCAACAAGAATCAATTTCATCAATGGAACGGGTCCACGGTACCCCTTGCAAGGACTTGAGTGAGCATACCCCCTGCACGGTCTCTCTCAGGAGCTGTTGGCTGTGACATGAGTGCAATCATCCAATAAGGCTACTTTCCTAGCTGCATCGACAACAACAGCAACATAAACCCCATCAGTGCCCCAGACATGGACGTCGTCGCACCCCGAAGAGCCATTCCGCTCGGCCCCCAGACAGCAAGTGCCCGACATCCCTCTACCCTTCCCCACAGCTTCCTCCAGAGCTACTCAGCAGGCGCTCCGCATCATCATCTGGGGCCATCACAGTTGCAACTGTAACCCAAGCTGTCGGCGAAGCACCGGCAAAATGAGTGATTTCTCATGCGCCACCCACGGCCTGATCGATCAGGCCGAAATCAAACTTCAAAGAAATCTTCAAGAAACCAGAAACTTCAAAGAAATCAGCTTCAAGCACACAGAAGGACCAGCGATATCGCTGGTCCTTCTGGGTGCTTGAAGTTGCTGATAGGGGTGGATGGGGTTGTTGAAGGCGTCTGAGTCAGCGCAACATGAACATTGTAGGCATATGCACGCATGCAATGCATGACATGCAAGAAACTCATTCCACGTTCAGAGGGCGGTTGTGCTGTGCGCAATGTGCAGGTGTATACTTAGTGAAGGCTGCAGCTTTAGCAAGCCGCCGGTAGGACAATGCTGTCATGCCCCTGTACACGCCTAGTGGGTGGTGGTTGTGTTGGGGAATGGCACCTATACCGAACGTGGATTTGGAATTACAATGGAATGGATTTTGTGGTGTTCGAACTCATGGCCCTGTATTAGGCCAACTCGTTCATGGCGCCATTGAAATTTTGCTTATTCAGCTCTCACCTGGTAGGACACGATCTTGGCAGGAAAGGTACAGCGCCCTGATTGCATATAGGGTAAATTGACTGACCGAGCTGCGTAAGTTGGCTGCGCCAAACCTCCTGTGAACGGTTTGCAAGCACGTCGCTCGAGGCAAACTATGACTGAGGGTGGTCGCGATCATTACCAAAACCATCAGCACCCGCCTTTGTACAGTGTGGGCAGTCTATCAGTGCGGCACGCCTGGCGGGGCCTGCCCGGTGTGCGCCACGGTCTTCAGGTCTTCCGACGATGGGTCGAAGCTTCAGCACGCAACAGCTTTCGCTTGCCACAAGCGGTCTTTGTAAGAACCATCTCTCAGTGAACCAATGGCGAGACGTCATTGCCCAACAACGTCGTCGCCCAACGTGGTACGGTGGCCAGTGTATGGTGCCCATCGCGGCCGCAAACGAATTTACCAATTACATGTCCGCTATCCACGCAGAAGAGGCAGTCCTAGGAGCAGCAGTGGGCCCATCAGGCTGGGAAAGATCGTTAGGCGCCAGAAACGACCGCCGTGTTACAGCGCATCGCGGTGTTCAGCAGGACAGCTGGCGCGAACAGCAGTGCGTGAGATGCTGTCGATCAACCAATGTGCTTCATGGAAGGTCTGGGCATTTCGTTGATAGACCAATCGACTGCGCTGGCCCCAGAACTGTTATTGTCAATTGAATCGCTTTGGCTGCAAGATCTTGCAACGTGGCTCTAGGTCAGTGTTGGCGGTGCTCCATACACAGTGCCCGAAACTGTTCGCTGGATGGAGTGACGAGACACGCTCCCTGCTGCGGAGCAACAACTGCGCCCATCGATGCACAGAGTGCCCCATTCACTCTGGTCATGGTGCTTCTGGTGTGGAATGCACATGACGCGGGGATGGGATTGGTGTTCCCAACATGGACACTGACCTGTCGCAATGCTTCTGAGGTTCAAGCGCCGCCTCTAGGTAGTGATAATTGACGCGTTAGCTTCGAGTGATGCGAAAACTGAGGGCACGCTGTGTTGCGCCCAAATGGCCTCTTGCTGCTATGATTGGAGCTCCCAATCCATATGCACTCTGGCTCATACCACTAGGAAAAAAGGGCCAAATAACACTTTTGCAAACACGCATAGAACACATTTTATCAAAGTTCTGCACATTAAGAACGCAAAAGTAACACAAACCCGTAAACTTTGGACACGTTTGAACACGTGTTATTTGGGCCTTTTTTCCTAGCATTCGCAGCACCTCTGGGATGCATTTAGTTGAAAACAGGGACTTGCAATTCCATGTCAATGGTCTTAAAACGCTAACCGAGAAAAATGACATCTATTCTGCAGCCATTCTCACTCGCTTGCAGGACACGCATATATATTTTCTTCCACAGTGCTGACTTGGTATTCAATCATTGTTGTAACATATTTTAAATAGCTGCAACTCCGTATTGGCCTGTGTAACCTGAATCCTGACACAATGCTAGCATGACATATTAGTAGCGCTACTAATACAGGTTATGGATTAATTGCAGACAAGGTCTTTGGGCGTCCAACTACCGATCGCCTGTGTATATCAAGTCGCCGGATGTCAAGAGACCAGCATGAGAAATAAATCTACAAGACCAAAAAAATGAATGCTCGCAATTATTGACTACAGTTCGTTCAAAAATCGTAGTCTGCCGGAGCCAGAACTTCAGGAATCAAACTTTGCTTCTTGTGTCTTGTTAAAGCCAAGGAGGTTCTCTTGCTCTGTAGCACGATTACCAATTGGCGGCGACCTTGCGTTGAAGCCAGCTCATAGAGAACATCTGCAGAAGTTCAGGTTCCATCCACAAATGCCATCTATACCATCGCTGCTGAAGCAACTCTTAATCACTTATCGTAAATGAAGTCACAAATAAAATATTACATCTTATTGCCCCGAGTGCATTATGACAACTTTCAGCATGCAGAGCAGCCACAATTTTCGATCACCAATCCCTATGATCACGATGAAAAAATTCCACTGCCTGTCCCCAGGATATAAAGGGCATCTATACAACGTTCTGACGCCATTTTCAGCTGCCCAAGCCGAGGAATTCCTCTAGTGTGGTCGTTCGTTTAATTACCGAAAATGAAAATGCACATGCTTCTGCGTGTCCAGATCTTTGAGTTTGATCATCAGAGCAACCGAATGTCGGATTCTCATTTTCATATAAATGAGCTTGAAATGTACGCTCTTCCCCTCTACTCTATCTAACTATCCCGAAACATATCAATCCTAATTCACGCCTCAAAACTGTTATTGAATTCACCTTTTAGTCAAAATACTGAACGAATGCCAATTTGATCGAACACCATCACCCCCATCTGCTCGCAGATCTCGAGAAGAAGCTTCCATCCACAGTGATGACGGAGAACTTCCATCGACAATGAATCGGCTACTGCCACAGCGATTTCGCCTTGCTGTAGACCGCCGATGCCACCTGATCAATCAGACGTATCACGTCATTCATAATCTGTAATGTAATAGGTAGGCTACAAGATTAATACAAGATTTACTGTAAGCCTGTTGTTAAACTATAAGATTAATGGTAAACTGCCGTCCCGGCCGATGTTTCAAACACGAGTGCCTCTCAAGGATCGAATCAAGTGTTACGTTCTGAGGTTTTGCAATCGCATTTCATTTAAAATTCCCTTTTGCAATTTGGCGTCGTGATGTATGGGAACAATGACGGTAATGCAAGTGTCTTACGGCAAATGCAGTTCGGCAGAGCAGAGCGAGAGCGACGCAAAGATTATTTGATTCACATTTCTGCATTCACGGCTCGATTTCGAGGGCCAAGAGCACAGCTCCTCAAAGAAGATGCCTCTCGCTTCCAGCTCCACGAGAGGGGCGCCCCTATTGATGCGCCGCAAGAATGAAACCTCAGTTGGACAGACGCACCACATCTGATGCAGACGAACGGGGAGTTTCATTGTCCCCACCTGTCTTCCCATGTCGAGCCCATCTACGTTGTCCGCCATGATGTGGATGCCGCCGTGGAGCCTCGATATGCCGGACTGCTCCGCGGCCTCGTCGAACGTCTCCCAGCACAGCACCAAGTCGGTGGCCGGAACATAGCCTGATGGGAACGACTGCGAACGTCAGTGGATGGCCGCAGCAATGATGCCATGCTGCGTCATGGAGTGCTTAAAATGCACTTCACTATTGCGTGACGTCTTTCGACGCACAAATGATGTCCGTACTGATACTAATTTTGCATTGATGCTGCGGTGGGACCAGCGCATTTGCCCAACCTGACAGGGTCGTGGGCACCCGATGTGGCCTCAAGGCTCCTTGGCAATACGAAGGCGCAAAGAGCAAATTAGGGTGTTGAGGAAGTTTCTGGCCTGCTATCAGTGACTGCGGTGTTGATTTACGCGCGATTCAAGCAGGCCCCAAAGGCATCTGCGGGTTCCGGAAGACCTGGCCGATACTTTGGTCGGCAGGAATCTGTTCGCCGAAATCGTAGAAGCTCCGCTTTAGGATTCTGGTCACAACGATGGCAGCTGAATATACAGATGAGGTACAGAAAGTAAGCGTATAGGGAATTATCAAAAATGTAAGGAAATCAAGCTGTGAGGCCAATTCGTGCAGCGCATGGAATTGCCCGCTTCGGCCAGTACACATGGGTGGAATACTGTAGACTTGTATTTACCACAGTTCGGATGGCGAAAGCTACCGCTATTCAATGTTGAAAACAGGAGTGGATTCTGCTTGGCAATTTTGTGTGCCGCTAAAGAAATACATAAATGCGACCATGTACATGTATGCAAATGCGCCATCTAAGAGTGCCTCTAACAGAGGGAGTATTGAAGTGAAGTTTCTCGGATTCCCGCTCTGGCAAGGAACAAATCTCGAATTTGGATGTCGTTGGGCATGGAAAAGAAATCCCCCTCAGCACCTTTTCACCCTGCATCGGAATTGCTGACTGCCTCTTGCACAACCCACCTGTTGTGCGAGGTCCTTGATTGGGCACGTCCGTCATGCCAGCGATATGGTTATTCTCCCCAGGATTTATCCTCCCTTCAAATAGACTGCTGCCCTCCTCGTACCTGCGAGAAACAGGAAATGAAGTTGGTTTGGCCGAGGCGTCGTGTAGAATCGAATTGCAGAAAAAACTCAATGATCAAGGTGGTACCCAACAATGGCATTTGCATGAGTCATACATATCACACAGATTTCTGCCGGGCTTAAAGCCAGGTTTGTTGTTGAAAGTGGTACAAGCAGAATTCGCAGCAATGAAGACTTGATCGTTTGTGTGTCTTCTTGACACGTTCGACTTCAAATTGACTTCAGGAGAGTAGCCGGTGCGCCTCTCCCCGTCCATATGTCGATTCTCACATATGACTCGATTTCAAGATGAGGGGCAGCGACTTTGGACGAAAAGTGGATTTGCGCAGCACTTTGAAAACGCTGTAAATAAGGCAAAAGGCAAAGGTCGGCAGGGACTGTGGCGGGCAGTAAAGTGGATGCTTAGTTGATGGCAGGTGATGAAATCAATTGTAAACTCAGTCAACTGAGACACCCTTGAGGCCTCCTAGGAGATTTAACGCCATGTGGAGGTTCTCAGACACGCAATGAGAGATATGGGCCTCGCTTTAGCACATGACGATTTTCTGGCCATCATTTGCAGTGACTCATGTTTTTGCTTTACAGATCTGCCCCCTTGCCGGCACCAATCACACATAGTTGTGGCGCAATCCCTCCAGGGTCCTGTCTCAACACCAACCACCCCCACCAACACCCCCGCCTATCCCATCCCCAAAAAATTACAATGGAACATGTGGCAGGAAGCATCAGCTGGACATTCTAAGAGGGAAAATCCATCGTAGGACACGAAATGCACCCAAAAGTACACGAGATGCAATAGAATTGATATGAAACTTACAAATGACAGCAAAGCCAAGGAGCGGCGACAAGGCACGAAGCAAAGCAAAATATTGGCAACCGCAGAATCACCCACCTGATGCACTTTGGCGCCAGGTACTCATTAGTCCCAAAGTAGTCAATCATTGCCGCAGCTGCGGCAGCGCTGAACGCGGAATGGCCGCTGACGTAAGCCGGAAACGGCGGCGTCACGAAGGTGCGGGCCTGGTACGGCTGCCACGTCGACGCATCGATGGTTCCCACGCCGGCGTACGGGCCCACCCAGGCCTCCACTGCCTCGCCTGCGAATCCGCACTGGATCATCTGCAGCGGGCGCGTGTAGTCGAAGCGGAGCTTGGAGGCCCAAGCGGCCACGCCGGCGTCGTTGAGGGCCGCGCCCACGAGGAAGAGCAGCTGGGCGGACGCGAAGACATCCAGGCCCTGGGTTGGGCGACGTTCAACTGATCAGCTCTAGCAAGGTGGCTGCGCAAATTCTTGTTTGCTGTTAGTGCATGTCCTCCCTTGACACCCATCGCCACCGCCGTCTTACGAGCTGCTCGCCCCGGCGCTGACGTCTGGCTAATTTCGCTTGATGGATGCTTTGGCGATTTGGGTGCGCTTGCAACGCTGCAATGTAATTGCAGTGAAGTGCATTGCAGCATTGGGACGGAGGAAGTATTTTGGTACGCTCGTGGCACAGTTTGGGGAACCGCGTCGTTGATTTGACTGACAGTAAAGCAAATGCAAGGCTGCCAAGTCCATGGCGGCAAGATCAGGTCCGCTTTTGCATTCAACCGCGTCTTTGTGAATTCGCCAATAACAGGCGACAGCCAGCCGCGAATTCGCCATCGAAAAGCGCCGAGGATTGAGATGCCCAATCCATCGTGCTCTTCGTCCATGCACTGTAAATGGAAACACCCAACGCATTTACCTCTGACACTGCGCAGTGTCAGAGGTAAATGCATTGGGTGTTTCCATTTATGAAAATCCATATGTAATTGTTTCCATATACAAAAATTCTGCGAATTCGCAGATTTGCTTATGCTGCGATCCGTGAGCGATCACGAGCATCCCTGGACATTGAGTAATACTACCTGCTTCTCTGCCGCTCCAACCGCAATGTAGAACAAATGTCCGGGAGGAAGGGTGGTGTCAGGGCCGTCTGCCCAGTGTTCCGCGACAACCTTGTTGGAGTCATTCAGATCTGCAGAGAATTCAAGCACTTCGCGAGCCTGCGAGATTAGCAGAAGAGATCAGCCTTATCCGTATCAAATGCCTCCATAAAATGCACAACTTCGAACAGCAATGCTAGCGCAACGTCATTCCAACTGAATTTCGCACTACGCATGCCCTTTCCTAGCGCCGACAGTCGCAGCATACCTACGCTGTCCCCAACTGATATCTTATGCCGTTTCGCACTTAACATTTCTTTCCCACTCAAAATTTCTTTCCCACGTCATTTCAAATGTAAGGTCATTCAAGCGCATTGATCCACATTGTCATGAATGATCTGAAATCATTACGATATGAATCTCATTCAATTCGGCAGCACCAAAAAATCTGCATCGAAGCTTGAAATATTGCGGACATGCCCACTTGCGGGAGTATAAGTACTGGAAAATTTTGCTGTTGTCTCGGCCACGCGTACCTGGCGTCTCCACTCCTGCTCATCTCCTCCCTCCAGGAGCGGCGGACCGGGTGGCCTGATTGCGTCGCCGTCGGGAATGCCATACGTGTGCATCAGATGTGCACCAGGCCCCAAGTAAGTTTGAGGCTGCACGTAAACAACCTCAATGCAATCAATCGCCATTCAATGTCTTAACCAATTTGACGCTTCGATCAATTTATATCAATTTTTCAATGAACTTTACGCCTATGAAGCAGCGCTTCATCATGGGGTGGATTTAAAGTACAGCTACGCAGTGTGTGCTCCTTGACTTGGTGGGAGCCCAGCCTGGCCCCATGGCCATTTCAGCAGAGAGGCACTTGCCATTTCAATGTGACGCAGTGAACAGGGATGCATCACCGCATCTGCTACGCGGGGAAACACTAATACTTTCATCCATCATGCTGCATCCGCATTCTCTGCGCCCCCCAAACATTGCGCGTCAGGCTCGATGGCGCACCGGCATGGCGTTGGCTGCGAGTGCCAGATAAACAAAAGATATTTTCCAGGTACCACATGATATTTCACATCGGCCATTGGCAGTTATGGGAATAATTCTTCTTTATCATAAAAAACAAAGCAACCTGTGTGTGCAGGTCAAAAAGGGACATGATGCCGTCCAGTTTATCAGTTTATCACTTTTCCATTTTGCATGCCAAATGCGGGAAACTGCCGCTGGTGAACACCGAGCAAGGAAAAGCGCAAATATATAAATATATAAATATACAAATGTAATACTATAAGCCAAGCCAAGCGCGGGAAACTGCAGCTGGTGAACGCCGAGTCACGAAAAGCGCAATTAGGCATCCAGCGTTTGCCTCAGGCCCAACCGACCTGACACGCGTCTGAACCGAAATCCACCGGGACGCATATTGGCTGCCAACGATCGGCGGAGTTTATCTCTGCTGGGCAGTCGGTGATGCCCGCGACCTCCTGAGGGTTGTTGGTGGGAGCAACTTCAGGATCGAAGCCTGGGACACAAAGCATGGGAGTCGATGCCCAATGTTCACAGCCCATAGAGGAGAACTCACAGTGTAATGTTGATCCTAGTTGATCCTAGTTGATCCTAGTTGATCCTAGATCGTTGCGCTCGTGCGCATTTAAAGGCGTCTGGATTAGTAAATGCCTCAGAACGTTGCCTTAATGAGACCCAATTCTTAGCCAGTAGCTCTCATCTTGAGCCTTGAAAACGAAGTTTCAGTTAATTTACATCGCTGTGCTCAATCCTTGTTCTACCATATCTAGACGAGTATCTCTTGAATTTCTTGAGAATTTACTTGTAATACCGTTCTCAATAGTGAACATCAAGAATGCCTTCCTGATTCAAATCTGTTTTGATTGCAACCAATGTCGAGATATCAAACATTGAATGGCCACGGCTGAAATGAAGAATTTTCCCATTCTCTTCATTCGCCACCACTCACCAGTGCATTTAGCAGATTGAACGTGTGAACCATGACTGCACATTGCACAAACATGCGCAAAACAATGCGCTACCTGCCGTTGCTAATGGTGAAATGCTTCCGTCGTTGGCATCACGAGATGTATCACGGCATCGCGCTCAATACAGTATTGCCACTCGGCTTAGGAACTACCGCCTGCCACCTTGAAGTCTCAAGGAAAGTGTACTTTTCACGCGTTGGCATTCTGCAAGTAGCCGGGCGCCATGCTTGACTCTCCATGCTCAGATTTTGCACTGTCGTCCATCATCGCCTGAACAATGCTTGCAGCTGCGGGCAAGAACCTGAGCTCCCACACCACCATGAAAGCTCTCGATTCAAGCGTCCGATGCAAGTCTAGACCTCGGCAGATCCGCCATTACATAACACCATATCCATGGGGTGGAGAACTGATTCGACTCCCACCTTGAGGATTGCCGAGACCGTCAAACCCGTCCCTCTTATACTCTTCTTGGACCCTTGCGCAGACGGTCCGGCCTTGGGAGAACGACCGGGCCTCGATGCCGCTGAGGCGTGTCAGCACGCCGCCGGATCCGCCAATGGAGGACACATTTGGCGACCCTCCTTCCAGACCCTCGAGGAAAAAGTCCTGAACCTTCGTGAAGGACCTCTTCCCGAAAAAGATGTCGGATAGCGCTTCGTAAGCGGCGCCGTCGATGACGTAATCGATGAGGAGGTCTGGGCGAAACATCCCGGTGGCTCAAAGCGAATAATCCTGTCTAACATTTTGAAAAAGGGGAGACGTTGATGCGACTGTGTGTGTGAATGCATTGTTGACGCAATGCCGAATAGCTGTGAAACAAGGCCGGTGTATCAGCAATGAAGCAACGTTGTTACACATATCAATGTGTGGCAGTATTGAAATATGGCCATGTGCAGAAGTGGTGCTCGGCATTGCATCAGTGGCATTGCAGACACATTATTTGCATCACCAACGCCTGCTCCTTTCCAAATGCATGGGCTAAGCACAAGCAACATCTGAGCTACTTGTTCCCCCCCAGTATATAATTCTTGACAATTAACCCATTCAAGCACGGACGGATATTGCGTCAAATGGGCAACTCATAGCGTGTGCAGCGGCGCCTTCCACCATTCTTACCTGCTCTTGGGACACGACTCGTCGGCTTGGAAGCATAGGCTGGAAACATGTTGTCACTCTCTATGGCAATGGCATCATGGAGGCAGGATGCAAAGATCCCAATGGCACGAGCAGCTCCAGGAGGACTCATGGAATCAAAGTTGTCCCTTATCTGTACAAGATGCAATAGAAGATCAAGGAGACGTTGGAAGACCTGGGAGAAATGGGTAGTCCGTTCCTTAATGATGCAACGCCGCACTTCAGCAACCACATACCCTCGTCACTTCGCTCCGGTATGGCATATTAATTCATAGATGTCGCCGCATTAATGAGCTCATTCTTTCTTGGAATTATTCCCCCATGCAACATGGATGAACGGAAATGAGAATGAGCCTAGCAAAGGACCCGCAGCGCATCGTCTAGAAACAGGAAATTCCACCAAGGAAAAGGATTGTGCGGACAGCTTCCGTTGACCATTGTACAGGGTGGGCTTCACGGAGTGACGCATGGAACTGAGTTTGCACAACAAAACCTCCATATACGTCCACAATAGCTAAGATGTGAAAAACGGTAATACCAAAGCATCTGTTGCCTGAGATCCCGGGCGGCGAAACTATTTCTGAAGTATTTGGCAAGACTCGGTGCATAAAAGTTGCACAAATATTGGACAATAGGCGCAAGAAATTGACTACGAGATGTGCAGCTTGTTGAAACTCTATGCCTCAAAGGTATGCTGGTTTGAAGCGCTCCCGTGGATGAAAAACAAGATAATGGTGTTGCTGACACGCATCATTCTTTCGATTTGTCGCAACTCGAAGTTTACCAGCAGTAATCAGACTGATGAATTTACTCGTTTGGGACATTGAGTGCATCCAACTGTTGGAGAGAATCGACTGAAAGTTTCAAGCGGCATTTCATCTCTATCGCTCAGGAAGGAGCTTTGAATGGGTTAAAACTGCTAAAAGACGCTAGTATTCTATACGCCAGTACAAAATTACGAGAGTGTTATTAGTTTTCTCATGTTTTGGCGGTCGCTTAACCCCAGTTCATTCAACGAAGGGTATTACCGTCCTGGCCGCCACTTTCTAAGGCTTACCTGGTTAAGCAACACGGTGCTCCATTGTTTCAGTTTTCCGTCGGTAAGTATTGGCTTCTCGGGCAGGCGCTCTTCAAACTCCCCTTCATCAGAACAAATTCTCTCGCATTTCCCGGGAAAATAGTGCACCCGCTGGCCTGACCGAAAACCACCCAATAAAATAAAACGCCCAGGTCACCGAACATGTCAAAATTACGATGCGTGTCCAACGCAAATTCCCATCTGAGGCCTGGAATTTCATATTTGCAATTGAGCTTAAATGTAAGATGCACGATGCCCTCTAAATGCTATTCACAGCGCATAACAAGATGCATTGGAAGATTCAACGTATCACCTCTAGATTCCATGGAATGTGAATACCCAGGGAGTGGTCTCTATTCCAGGCGTTCCAATTTTGCGCATTTTGTGTCCCTGAAGTGAAGACGCCACAAATATTTTACACAACGACATGCAATCAATGGGTTCAAGAGGCGGTACATTTGTGCCAAGGCTAGCACCAATATTACCCACCTTGCACTATGGATGCAAGCACGACTGCCAGACAAAGCACAACACAGACCCGGGATGATGCCATTCCAGTCGCGTCCCCAGACCTGGCCTGCAAGCCACAGGTAAAGTTTGGTGGGCTCATAATGCATTGGGGGACTCACCCAGATGTCGACTGCTGGGCATGCCCGGACTGAGAACAGTGACTCCAAATACTCCTAGCAATGTCGCGATCTTCCACCGCGACAGGATTCTGTTTTGTTTGCCGATTTCAAACGTGCACAATAATTAGAATCCTTAGCCAGGAAGTGTAGGCCGCTTTTCACAGATTTCCGCGCCGACATTTCTAAACGGCATATAAGCGAATTTGTCACAAAATATAGATTGTCGCAATGGAAGGTATGTCGCAAGTTCACATGAACCGGCTGACGCACCAATTTTACGCCCCATTGAATGTGTATTGTTCTGCAGGGTATTTCGGCATTGGAGGTGCCGAAGAGTGCAATTTGTGGCTGAAGTATTTGGGCTGGAAGTTTGATCATCGATTGCCGGTTATCTTAAGTACTTGTCAAAAGCACACCATCGGTTATACCATTGAAATTTGGGCAACTTATATGTTATGTGGCTGTCCAGTGCGCAGGTTACATGCCGCGCACGCCTTAAGCGAGGGTCAGCAATTCGGTTTTTCTACACATCCCTTTTGTTTCAGGAGGGGTTAAACCATTACGGGGCCCCCTGCCCGTTTCTGGTTCGGGGCCAGCACACCCTCTTGCCGCAGCCCCCCCTCCCAGCACCTCCTCTTCCCCTTCTGCCTTCCAAAAGAATGCTAGGCGTTCAGTAGGAAACAGGTAACGATTGCTCCTACTTTAACGCCGTTGCGTGCAGCAGAACCGCAAGCACCGTTGAAACAGGGTCGGTAATAGTGCAAAACGGCAAGTGGACGCCAGCGTTGCCTGGCGATACATTGTTGGGCAAGCTGAAGTACTTGCCGCCGGATCGCCTGCATCATGCACCCAAACGGGCCCCGGCATAAAATTACTGGCTGCACCAAATCGGTGACTTCTTGCACCAAGTCACGTGCACATCATGTCCAACTCCGTCCAAACTAACCTAACCTAAAACCTAAACCCTACACCCTAAACCTAAACCTGTCCTAACCCTAACCCTAACCCTAAAACTCACCCTGAAACTAAACCTAACCCTAAAATTGAGGTTAGGACAAAGTGTCACGTGACTTGGTGCAGGCAGTAATATTATTTCAACGGGCCCCTCCCAACGTTCCGAGAAATGAGGAGGGAGAGACACTGACGCCGGGCACCCCTATATATTTCGGACCGTCTTCGCAAATTGTAACGCACGAGCAGCCGTGGCGAAACGGTCCCGGTGGACGGCAGGGGGGGCCCGCAGCCGGTGGCTCTCGGCAACGCCGCCTCCCAGCAACCCGGGGGTGCAAAGACCGGCGGCTGGTTATCCGACAAAGAAACCCGGTTCGTGGCAACACACGCTCTGCCAAGACGGCGCTCGTGCTCACGGCCCTTTTCCGCGGAAGAAAAAGCACAGGAGCAGCAAGAGGGCAAACGCGGCTGCCACTGAATGAGAGTGCCGACAGGGAGGCACGACGGGCGAGACTCCCTTTTCGCAAGTCTCAATCGGCGCGAGGGGCCTCGACAGCCTGCCCTAGGCAGCGCGCTCTGCCCCTCCCCGGGGCGATGGCGACAGCTTCGGTACAGTTGCGGTCCAGCGGAAGCACCGGCACCGGGTTCCTCCCCCACAGGCCCGCTGCCGCCACACCATTTGGCAGAAGGCCGAACAAAATTGTGCGGCACATTCAAAAGCGCCGGTCAGGGAGTTGCAAGCGGGGCACCACGGCGCGTGGCCACCACCGGGCGTCAACGTTGCCCAACGTTGACTGGATGATGCATGCGCGACCGCCTTGCCGCGGCCGTCTGCTGCCAGAATGTGTTCTCGAGTACCAACGGTTCGGATCGCTTGACTCGGAATGGACGCGGCCAGGGGGGATCGCTTGGGACGCCATCTGGGGCCCAGAGCTAGGCTGGGCGCCTGGTAAATGGTCAAGTGCTGCAAGATAGCGTCCGGGGTCAACGTACCTGTCGGTGGTATCGAGGCTCCGGGGGGGCTGGCGGCAGCGCCCCGGAGGTTGCCGACCCGGGGGGGCAGGCGGTCGACCCCCTTGAGGGGCTGGATGTCCCGGGAGCGGAGGGTGACGCAATGGAGGAGAGGGCAGCGGCTGAGCGAGGCTGTGTGAGCTGCTCCCGGTGGAGTGCGGGGTTGAAGATGCTTTAGAGTACGATGTTAGCGCGATGAGCTAATGCTGCGCTCAGATCGCCGCGTACGAAGTGCACCAAGAACTCGTGACATGGCATGGAGGCAGATGCTTGACACAGCTGTTCCGTGTTTCCGCAAACTCGACGGGGACCAGACTGACATATCGGAGTGTCGCTTCTAGATTTGGGGAGGGCTAATTTCTCAACAGTTCAGCACGAAGGACTTAACACGACTGTCAGACCCGACCAGTTCCAAACAATCGAAAACTCGCCGCCTGACAAGTGGTGCCAAAGCTGCACAAATCGCATGCGGCTGCATGCCCGTCCCTTCACCAGGGCAGGCCGCTGGTCCTACTTTCGTACACGGCGCAGTAGTGGCTGGCGCCCCTGGGTTGATTCAACAAGTAGTCTGGCAGGGGTGCGTCCAGGCCTCCTGGGGGGGAAGGGGCCCATGTCCTACATACATAAGACGCGACCTGAAGCTCTGGGAGCCTCCGATGCGGACGAGGGGACCAACGGCTAAGTCCAAGGATTGGAGCCAGTTGGGCGAAAGCAAGACACCTTAATCTGCGTCTGTGTTACAGAGCAAGGCAGAGCCGGACAATCGGCCAAGCAACTGCCAAGCGAGGTCACTTGAACCGCGACTTCAGGTTCAACAGACGGCAGCTGCCATGTTTGAAGTTGCACATTCGCCCCTGCAGATACGCGATGGCGCAGCATCTCATTTGAATGACTGTTCGATGCATAAGCCAAAGCATCCAATTCTCCATTGTCTAGAGAAAGACACCCGTCTGATCTCGGTCTACCGCTCATAAAGGTGGAGCAAAACGCGTCCGGTGGCGTGCGCTGCAAGATGTGTACCACTCTGAAAAGTTCGTGTTTCGCCCAGCTGCTCTCCGTGCTTGTACAGCGCCAAATTTTGAAGTCTTGCTTAACTCATACCATCAGCGTGATGCCAAATACAAACATCAACCATATCAGTCATGTACAAATGCGTTGTGAATGCCATAGCAGTATAGTATTTGTTCAGTTGCTATGCAAAGCTTTCAAACCTTGCACAGACCACTAGGAAAAAAGGGCAAAATAACACGTGTTCAAACGTGTACAAAGTTTACGGGTTTGTGCTATTTTTGTGTTCTGAGCGTGCAGAGCTTTGATGAAATGTGTTTTATGCGTGTTCGCAAAAGTGTTATTTGGCCCTTTTTTCCCTAGTGGGCGGTGCCCATCTACGTAGTCATATCTCTCCTTATTGCCAGTTCCTACCTATCTGGGTGTCCAACTGATGTTGACGTTAACGCCGTGGTTTGTTCCAGCATTGCACAAAATCGTGTTGACGCTCCGTTTAAAACTTTGAGATGGAGTACTGCGACAAATGTCTGCTTTCTTACCTTCTTGTACATTACATATAAATACAATATGCAATATGCTGAATATTCGTGCTAAAACTCTACATGAAATGGACCAGGCATTCGGATGACGCTAGAACAATTCGGGAATAACGCACTGCAAACACTGCTGCATCATTGGTATCGTTATGCTGAGATGTCCAGCTGTCATTGAAGGTGATGCATTTTTCCACCAGTCCCTTGTTAGACTATATTTCTTTGCCAATATGTGTGCTTGAATGGCTTCAAACGGGGCCGTATTTCAGGTATCCAAGATGTTATATTCAAAAAAGGCTAGTTCGTGCCTCTTTGATTGGGCCCGCTTCCTACGAGGCTAGCACTAATGTTGAGTGAGTGCAGAAAGATCGGCTGCCTTAACATCTTGGCTCCGTTGCCACCATCGATGTGCGCAATTTAAAGGGGAATATGTAGAAATGCCACTGCAGCACATGCTCACATGCTGATGAAGCTTGTGACCTTTGCAATGAACAAGTCGAGTTACAATCAACGTTCGTGTCGGACGGCATCCATTTTCGCGCAGCGTGGATGACGTGCAATCACGTGGGCTGTCATGCCTCGACGTCAAGCAGCGCACTGCACGTGATGCGAGATGGAAGTACAAATCTCCACGCTGCTCTCAACTAATGCTCCTTGCCAATAGAGTCACCAAACTAACTGCTCCTTTCTCGCCGTGGACCAAAGAGCGACAGAGTGAAGCGACGCCCCATGACAGAGTCCCATGCCTAAAGTCCAACACCACTGCACACCAGATCCTAGAGCGCCATGAGTACATGCCGCCAGGCGCCTCCCCAGACTCGGGATGCCTGTGCAATTGGGAACTCAGACAAGACGAACGAGGTGGTGGGAAATGAGCAAGTCTTCCAGAACAAATCCCTTGAGCTGAATCGAGCTGCAGTCACCTTGAAGGCAGAAAGGAGTCCTTCGTCGTATTCCACAAGCGCAACTTAACGAATTGATTATAGAAATCAAGACAATTGAGCGAAATAATCGAACTAGACAAACTGGTCGAACGCAACAACCTGTACTTAGTGGACGAGCCAGGTGACTGGGACAGCCAAGAAGAAATATGGCCGTAGGTGGCCTCAGTTCCACAGAGCCGATGCCTTCTCGTACACCATGTCTGCGATCTCGAATCCCATGTCTTTGCCCTCGTGGTCCGCTATGATGTGAATGCCTCCATGCAGCCTTGATATGCCGGCCTCCTCCGCAGCCTCTTCCCATGTGTCCCAACACAGCACGACGTCCGTCGCGGGCGCATAGCCTGGGCGGAACAGCAAACGGCATTCATTAGACAAGACTTTCCAATGACGTTATACATGGCCTCCCGATGTCCCTCTCTGTTAGAAAAATCCACATCCGGCAGCACCAGTATCCAATGAACCCCCCGCAGGAAGCGTGGAGAGAGAAAGCGACAGAGCTGTCCTGCGGAGAAGCAAAGAATTGACACATTTATGAAGCAGCTCTAAGGAAGCACACTTTCGGGCAGACGTGTTGCGAACCAGGTGTGGGCACAAACGAGCGTGATTTTTACGTTCACGTTACGTTCGGGCTAACACGTCGACGGAACGTGAACGACACGTCTGCGTTCCTGCTTGAGCCACCCGAACGCAAGAGGCACGTATACGTTCCCCGTTTTCAAGATCCAGACGTACCACACATGTTTGCGTTTCCGTTTCAGAAGCCCGAGCGCACTGCCGGTGTTTGCCTTTGCGTTGGACGGCCTGGGCGTCCAGCCCGCACTTGCGGTACAATTTCGAAATTTTAAACGTATTCTATACTTTGACTCTTCGTCGCCATTGGTGGGCAGCCACAACACAAGAAATGCGTGGGAGATGCACGAAAATCGATATGGATAAGGCACCTGAGGCCAATTGTGCACTGATGCACGGATATGTGGCAGTGCGTTTCCCAGACGGTATTGCTGTCAGCATCCCACGTCCAAAGCTAGGAATATCAGATCCGTTGACAAACGATTTGGGCGACGTTTTCATAATCGAAACGTCTCGTCTGCGCCCATGTTTCAATTTTGGAAACCCAGACGCATTGAACACGTTCACGTTTCCATTTTGAAAACCCAAGCGAACGGCAGACGTTCAAGTTTCCGTTCTAAAATGCCAGACGTAGTGCACACGTCCGCCTTTCCGTTTTTACGGCGTACGCCCAAACCTGCTGCGAACACATTGGTTTGAACGGATGCAGCTTTGCTAGACTCACCGCTCAATCTAGGCTACACTTACTATCTGGCAAGTACCAAACACCTATCAAATATGCTTGCTTGGCCATAACGAAACTGAACATGCATTATCGTGGTACCATTTCTGTTGAAATCGCAGCCTTTCTTGTCCAGGTCGGTGTCAGGGTTTGCGATCGGTAACTAGCGCGCTCAAACCAATAGATACACCGAAGTTGCGGTAAAGAAAAAACACCAACAGAACGCCGCGAATGTCATGAAATCAGTCGCTCCGTCTTTTTCCGTGAACATTCCCCCTTTCTCGACACCTCAACTCGCCCCCGTTGGCCTTCTCAGCGGAGGAACGGATCTTCGCGGAAAAGACAGAGGGACCAATATATTGTCTCCGCGAATTCGGTGCGCATGTGTCGGTCAACGCAAGCAAACGCCGACCACAGGCGCCGACCGGTTGAGCGCCATTTCCACACGACCGCCCCGTCACCCACCCTTTGTCCTGGGGCCCTGGTTTGGGACGTCCGTCAGGCCGGCGTCGAAGCCCTCCTCCCCCTCCTCGATCTTTCTCTCAAACAAGCTTTCCCCCTCCTTGATCCTGCGGCACTTGGCCGCCACGTACCCCTCCCCGAAGAACAGCCTCAGCGCCCCCGCGGCCGCCGCGCTAAAAGTCGAATGCCCGCTGACGTAACCGGAGAAGGCGGGCGTCACGAACGTGGTGTCCTGGTAGGGCTGCCAGCCCGAGGCGGGCACCTTGCCCACGCCCTCGTAGGGCCCGATCCAGGCGTCCAGGGTGCGCCCCGCGAAGCCGCACTGGATCATGGTGATGGGGCGGACGGAGTCGAAGTGCAGCTTGGCGTCCCAGGCGGCCACGCCGGCGTCGTTGATGGCGTTGCCCACCAGGAAGAGGAGGCGGACGGTGGCGAAGATGTCCAGCTCCTGCGGGGGGTGAGATTTGTTACAAAGAGGTTCCGATTGTGGTCCTTTCCGTGAGAGAAGCTTTCCTGTTCACGCTCGTGCAGTCAGCGAAAGCCACAGACCAAAGATGCCCACTCCAAGGGACGAACTGTCCACATCTGGCAGAAATCAAATTGGCCGAAATCCAGATTGAATGGTCGGTCGACAAGTCGTTCTTATATTTCCAGGGGGCAGCCTCAGCAGGCGTATGCATCACAAGGGTGCAACCTGCAACACTGGGCCACTGTGCATCACGCGTATCAGAAACAGCCATCATCTGTGACTGCTGTCGCAGGTGGCATTTTCCTGTACCCATGACTGCTGACACAGTGGAGGCGACACCTTGACAGGGTGCTTGATGCAATAGCATGTCCCATGTATGACAATGCAGGGTGCTTGCCCCTCCCCAGCTCACCAATCCTCGCTGATTTGCCCCTGGCAACCGCAACAGTGAGGTTCCAAGCTACTGCACAAATCAATACCACATGGCAGCTGCAAGAGCAGTGGTAAGTCTTGTTTTTGACAAATGCAATCGCCAAGGATACGTCTTACCTGCCTAAGGGCAGCATCCAATGCAATGGCATACCAGTGGCCAGGCGGGGACGTGGAGTCTGGTCCATCGGCCCAATGCTCAGCAGTCATCTTTGTGATGTCAGACAGGTTCGCTGACAGATCTATGACCTCCTGGACCTGCATGAAAAGGTCCCTCCCAATCGTCAGGTCAACTTTGAGCCTGGTCATGTTGGCATATACCCACCAGCTATTCTCGATTATCAAATCCACAGAGCAGGCAGAGCATATGAAATGCTGGTAAATCAAGGCAAATGTTTGTTATGCTGATTCAAGTAGCAGCACAGCTGCTTGAAAGCATCTTGTGTGACAGTTTTACTGACATTGTATTACCATTTTTGAATGGATATTCGAGAACTATGCATACTGCATTTCGTTCATGGATGGTCACCAACCCAGTGCCATTAGCATGTGCCTACTGTAAACCCAGAGAGCTCCCAATGGCTGGAAACTGGACAGTCCACATCTAATCCAGGCACTGTCCAGCAATGAAGGAATAAGGATTTGTCCAAGGAAGCACTCTGTTTGGGGACCCAGGGCGGGAGCAGCGCGAATGCCAGCAGACTACCTGCCAGAAGGATGTGACAATGCACTAGCACTGTAGTTTTATCTGCTGAAATGGCAGACTTCTGTAAGAACTCTATTGAACAGTATGGTTTTGGCAGTCAGGGTGCAGTATCTGGTAAAGAGAAGCTCCAGCTTAGTGCAAAAAACTGTATTTAAGCATATGTTTACATAAAGATGTATATGTTTGCATGTAATTATGCATAGACAAGGCAATATACTAGCATACTTTTGTGGGAATGTACATAAGCACCAACTGGATGGATGCAGAGGGATGTTGCCTGCAGACTGTCATCTTAGAATGTCTGGAAAGGGGCCTTGGTGAGCTTGTGGCATCCATGGTACTTCAGATTCACCAACCTGTCTGAACCATTCCTCTTCCATGCCCCCTTCAATCAAAGGTGGGCCACCAGGTCTCACAGCGTCAGCACTTGGGAGCCCGAATGTGTGCCACTCGTCAGCATGCGGAGCAAGAAACTCTTGTACCTGCTCCACAAGACAGGGGCACTCTGTTTCATGCTGCATTATGCGCCTCTGTCCCATGGGACATTGCCGTATCCTAAACTGCAGCGGGTTTGTGTGTTTTCCCGAGGTGTCCTTTGGGTCAGGAGAGGCAGTGCATACGATCGGACATTTCTTGCGAATGTTGACTCGAGCACTTCGCCATGTATGACTCTAGTTAGTTTTGACAGCAAGAGGCAAAAGGCATATTAGACTAGCTCTGCTGTGCCAATGCAATCATTCAGTACCCAGGGCCAGTGCTTCTGTGAAGCCTGGATATCTTGCAGGTAGTTTCAGTGGCACGATAGTATGACACGGTGTTTCCAAGATGGGCTTCCCAACTTCATTGCAGCTGGGCTGATCCAGTCTTTCCAACAGCCCTCCGTACAGGCACCTTGCACATTTTGACTCTGGGCGATGGAAGAGACAAGGGAATAAGCAAACAGATGCTGCTTCGGCTGTTGTTGCCTTTTGGGCAGGACTGCAGCGCCGCCGGTAATCAAATGGATTGCCATGTCTGGCATAACATGTGTTTAGATGGATAAAAGTCATGCTTTGGGGCCAAGTGCGTGCAAAAGCTATCCCTTAGTAATGCTCAGATGTAACAATACTGGCCAAAAGGGCGCTGCCAGCGGCTTCAGCCAGGAGATCAGATTCAAGGTCGCCAACATTTTGTGATAATTGGCATGGAATAGTTCAGATAATTTTTGCTACTACTCTAAGTATTCTGACAAGCAAAAGCACCAAAGCCGCACTTGCAGTCTGTTCAAATCCACCTGAGAACATATCAGCACAGAACAAGGGAGAATGATATCCATACCCATGGATGTCACTCCAGCTGGACCTTCAAACTCACTTTGCACTCCTTTGACTTGAAGGCCACTGGGACGCAAAGGGGCTGCCACCTGTCCAGAGACTTGACCTCATTGGGGCAGTCAGTGATGCCAGGAGACTTCTGCGGGTCGTTGAATGGCTCAAACGGCGTGACAACAGTCTCTGCGGCGTGGCACTCCACTGATCAGACGAAAAGACAAGTGCCTCACTGATCACAACTGGTCACTGTCCTGGGCACTTCCTCATCAGATTCTTTATGTTCTGCGTGTTCTGCATTTATCTCATATCAATGCATATCTGCAGATTCTACATATTGGCTTGTGTGCCGGTGTATGCACAGCGATGGTCGGTGCTGAGTGCATGAAACATGTATATGAGGAACAAGGCAGCACAGCTCAATTGTGTTTCACATATGGTGCTCAATCCAGGCACGCGATGTCCTGTCTGCTTACAGGTTTGGGCTCCAGCACACGGCGATGGTCTGGGAGTGGGTGCCAGTCTGACAGCTAGCAAGCAAACATCAAACATTGCGGCATCCAACGTGTGAGTTGATGATCTCGGCCACTGTAACGGTTGCTGAGGTGATTTGCTTTGTTGACCCTTCGAAAACCTTAGCCAAACTGAACAGCACCCAAGCGTAGCCGGGTCTGGTGGGACAACGTCGGCACACACCTCCATTCGGACGGCCCAGCGTGTCGAACCCATCGACGGTGTAAGACCTGATGACGTCTTTGCAGGTTCCCCTCCCTAGGAGAAATGACCTGTCTGGTGCGGAGCCTGATGAGGTGGAGAACCTAGTTACCGTGACGTTCACTCCGGGCGGCAAGGGCGGCATGGCAAAGCCTGGCGGCCTGCCGTCACCGTTCTCACCCCCTTGGCTCTCCAAGAAACTAGTCACTTTCTGGAAGGACTCGAATTCTCCAAACATGGACTCCAAGGCTTCAAAGGCAGACCCGTCGATGGCACGATCGAGGAAGAAATCTGGATGCACAGCAAGCTTGTGAACTAGGCACGAAAGAGGACAAAGTCAGGTGGGCAACAGCTGCATTCAAGTTGGATGGTAATGGTGAAGCATCATTCCAATCGCGTCACTGCAGCCACCGAATTGTCAACTGAACGTTAATTATTCCTTATTGTGAGATGGTGCTCATGCAAGGATCCTGTATGAAGTGCAAAACAGTACAATTTCAATCAGTCACCAGAAAGCCACACTCCTTCTGTGTTGGGCATTTATGAGGGCATCCTGCCTTCACTTGTGCTGTATTCGCACATGCAAACAGCTCCTCAAG